GATTTATTTTTCAGTTATCTATAATATTTTATCAAAATATACTAAAATATACTTATATTTAATGACATATTCATTAATTCACTCTCTCCCACATTACTAGTTTTGGCCGAATTACGACGCTAAACTAAGATTTTACCTTGCTTCATATTTACAACTTGAATAGAAAGGTTAAAACCTTAGTTTAGCGTCGTAAATTCCAACGAAGCTAGTTATGTGCGTTGCAGGTAACTAATGTAGGCATTCCATAAAAAAAAATTAAAATTGTCTAATTAAATGTTTGAGCATTGCAAAAATATTGTGCTTGATGTAACTAGAATGACACTGAAAAAGTTTTCTTTCTAGCTTCAGTATTTTTTTTATGAATTTTTACTTAATGGGTGAATGTCCACTCTAACAGGGTTGATAAAAATTAATTTCAGGATGTTTAAATTGATTTAACCATAAATGGTGATCTATTATTCAATTATTTATAATATTTTATCAAAATATACGAAAATATACTCATATTTAATGTTATATTCATTAATTCACTCTCTCCTACATGACTAGTTTTGGCCGAATTTACTACACTAAACTAAGATTTTACCAGAGTGGCTTCCCCCTGAATCTCGCGCTATAAGTTTTGGAAAAAGATGGCTACTACTATAGTAAATGAGCATGGTTACACCTGTTGGAAACATCGCTGGCCTAATTTATTACTGAAAATTTTTAATTCAATTGTTTAAAAACAGGTACATAAATGAAACGAGAAAATTTTTTTTGTATTTTTCAAGACATAAATCCTCCTCAAAATGTGAAATAATTATTAAAAGGAGTCACCTGTTTTTCACATTCCTAGTCGCGGGCGATTTTACGTACCTAAAACTATAGATTACCAAAAAGGGTTTGCTCACTTATTTGGCTTTTAGAGCTTTTACATTGGAGCCAATGGCAACACAACAATATTGTTAAACCTAAATTTGATCACGAATCTATCTAGTGATCTAATTCTATAAAGGAAATAAAAACAAGATAAATATGTAAATTAAATCGTTAGTCCACTATTGGAGACTGATAAGAGGCCGAGTGGTCACTGGTGTAGTTTGTAATTGAACAACTGAACATTTAGACAAAAGACTGCATCGTAAAAAGGACTGATTGTTGAAGGGAAAGGGTCAAAATAAGGTCAAGATGGCAGTTGTTGGTTAAAATGGAAAGCGGGGGGAAAATATAACATATTCTCCTAATATTTTAATAACAAGGGCTCGGTGCAGCGCGCTGTGACTTGTCTGGCTTAGCAGCGAACTGCACGAGCCACAACATAGATTCTATACATAAGACATTGGTTGAATGGGGCGGGCTTTGGGAGTGTGGGATAAACGTTTTAACTATAAAAACAGTAACACAATACAGGTTTCCCACGCAGCCGGGAAAAAACGAAATTTCGAAATTTAATTTCCCGGCCGATGAATAGCCGGGAAATATCTTTTAAAACCGGGAAATCTTTCTTTTCAGGGTGGTTTTGTTTTCCTTTCGGGTTTCGCGAGATTTGAACCGGGTATAGTCCTATCCAATCGCTAGTCTCGCCGCGTCTCATGATCTAGTTTTGATGCACAAAACTAGTCTGCCGGTTCTCATGGTGCCTTTTTTATCTGTTTTCCGCCATCACGCATGCGTATATGGTACATCTATTAGGGTTACCCAACATTGCCGTGACGTCATTTTCTTTTTTCAGGATTGGTTTAAAATTTAGTGTAGGCTACACATTTTTTTTTTGGCTTATTTGAACTCGCGGTGTATTCTAGAGATTTACCTAAATAAAAAACTTTATTAAAGGACAATGATGGAGCGAGTACAGTCTTGTTTAATATTATCACATAGTTTTAGGATATCCGTTCTAGCAGACTATTTCACGGTTAATCAATGCTACTGTATTTGGAAGAAACACAGATTTAAAAAAAAAAAAAATTTGCAAAAGCCAGCTTTTCTTGCGTTATTTTTAACAATAATTATAATGTTTAAAATGTTTATAATATTTAAAAATCGCGATAGCCAATGTTTTTTAAAAAAAATTTAAAATAGGTTTCCCTTGAAATAGGTTTGCAAAATGTATTCTCAATTTCTTGTTAGAATATGAAACAAAATTGGTTAAGATATTTAATTATCATTACATATTGGTGCAGACGGGTTCATTTATATTAAAGAAGATTGAAAACGTACCTCTTTTCTGAAGCAAATATTCAAGTTGAAAACAAAAAAAATGTTTGCATTGGGTAATGGGCAAATATCCTATCTTTGTAAAAATGTGGCTGTTGGGCGGAAGCAGAACTTGCATTATTTTAATTAATAAGAGTGCTATGCTAAAAAAGAAAAAAAAAACTCTTGCAATCTTGAGCAGAGAGGTTTTTTCCAATTCGGTTACCTCCCTTGACACTTCGTCTACATCCTAATATATAAAAGCCCATATGCACACTTCGCTCTCAGTCTGCAAAATATTTTCATAGGCTATGAAATCAGTATCTTCAGCAATATATGGAGATCTTGATAAAGACTTTTGTTGAAAATAATATGCTGGGTGTTTAAAATATATAAACTAAATTTTATTTAAAGAGGGAAAGAAAAAATAAAGGCGTATTCAAGTGTAGAAACACACTTTTAATTATGCATTTTGAAAAATGTATATGGTTGTGACAAGAATGCAAAAAAAAACAATGACACCACATGTTTAAACTATGGACAGTACATAAACACTAATGGCGTAATCTTCCAATTTTAGAATATAAAGAAATAAACTATTTCATTCAAATATCATTTAGATCAATATGGGACATATGCTTAGTGTTTCTTCCAGACTTTTTTCTCCCGGGGCAAAAGATTTTTTTTTTAATATAAATTCCATTTTGTTTGGGGGGGGTAGGGCTGGATGAAACAAGCGTGCACTATGAAATGTATACAATTTTCTCTGCCAAAAGTAATACAAAATACTTTTAAAAAAACAGAAATAAAGGAATCATTTAATTCTCTTAATCAGTGTGTTTATGTAATATGGTGTTGAGTTGACTAATAATGTATATAATTTGTTTTTTTTAATAGGTATTGGTAGCCTATGTTATTTTAAATGTGTTAAATTTTTAGCTATTTAGTTATTTCTTTACGTTGTCACAAAAATCATTCAACATGTAGTAAAGCACATAGCGTTTTGACCAATAACTTTTATACAATATTTGTTCAAACAAGTTTAACATTAAAATATATAGATTTATAATTCACATGTAACGGGTACCATCGGCTAGTACTACTATAGGCCTACATACTGTGTTTGAGACAACTATATGAGTGATAGTAATACAATCAATACAATGACTCATCATTGATTGGTTACTATCAAAAAAGGCTATGGCTATAGGCCTATATACATATAATTTAGAGTAGTTGATTTTTGTTGTCAAATGAGGTTGTCTTTAAACTTTTTATTCATATTTCTAGATCCTAATATTTAATAAACCCCTTTGTGAAATTGAATTGTGTGTAATTATCATAAGAGACATGGCCATGACCTCCCCCCCCCCCCCCCCTGATGCCCTGGTGGATTTAGAGCAAAAAACTAAACATAGGCCCTCATTTAATTTTAGCAATAACATTTACTAAAGAGAAAAATCCAACTATACAAAAAAGGAAGTTGCAAAAAGTAAAAATGTTTGGTGTCTTTCTGCCTTTAGAAATAAGCAGATAAAGTCTTCTAAATTCAATACTTACACTTCTGCTTCTTTAAAACCCCATCATCTTCAACTTGTTCACAAAAATTCAAAGTTGAAAGTTTCTTTGACTTGGAGAGCATAGTTTAACACCCATGCTTTAACCCCTTTAAAACTGTCATCATTTTAATCCTGTTCCCACAATATTTTTAGCTAAATGAGGGAAGATGGTAGAGTCATATATCACAGGTCACATAACCTATATTAGAATCTAGATTTTGAAATGATATTCAACAAATCTGCTTAGAGTAATCCCTGTGATTGGTCGCTCATGTTTTCTTGTTAGAGGGAGAAAAATCCTGATACACACATTCAAGTGGTTACTTATTTCACATTGGTTTAGATATCAGTTGTGTCGGCCTTTATCATGTCATAATTTCTCATAGTTAGAACAATTCCTGTTTAAGATTTATCGCCCTACATTCTGAATTTCACAATATTTTTTTATAAATATTAGTCACTTTCTTAAAATTAAAAGTAGGCTGTAAAGTAATGTAGGCGATTTTCATAATTAAGCCAAGTTTTGCGCTAAAAGAAATTGGTCTTATTCACATTGTCTTAAAAATATGCAAAGATATTCTAAAAGTTATGAACAGTATCAAATTATTGCAGAAAATCCTTTCTTGCCTAAAATATATTCGCAATGGGTAGGCAACCTTATATATGTATGTGTATATATATATATATATATATATATATATATATATATATATATATACACATATATGCATATACATGTATAAATGTGTATGTATGTATAAGTATATATGCATATATATATAAGTATATATGCATGCATGTATAAGTATATACACATGTATGTATAAGTATGCACATGTATGTATAAGTGTATACGCATGTATGTATAAGTGTATACGCATGTATGTATAAGTGTATACCTATGTATGTATAAGTGTATACCTATGTATGTATAAGTGTATACCTATGTATGTATAAGTGTATACCTATGTATGTATAAGTGTATACCTATGTATGTATAAGTGTATACCTATGTATGTATAAGTGTATACCTATGTATGTATAAGTGTATACCTATGTATGTATAAGTGTATACCTATGTATGTATAAGTGTATACCTATGTATGTATAAGTGTATACCTATGTATGTATAAGTGTATACGTATGTATGTATTAGTATATATGTATGTATAAGTGTATATGTATAGATGTATATTTATATACATGGTGCGATTTTCTTATAACAACTAATAGAAAATTTTTTTTACTTCGAATTTCTAATTATAGATGCAAGGGCCAGCAATTTCAAAGGTGGTTCAGAGACGAAAGTCAAAAAGGCATGCTTCCATACGTTCACAAAAAAAGTAAGATGTTTTATTTTTACCTCAAATAGAAAACAGTAATTTGTATTTACATTTTTGAGGCGGCAACTAAAATAAACAGAATTAATTATTAGGCATAACAACAGAATTATCTTCATCTACTTTCCTTTGTAAATTTAATGATTTATGTTTAAATAGACGTCTATATCTTTTTTAATTAGTAGTTGTATTAAGAATCTGTTGTTTTTTTAAAAGACTTATCTCCCTTTTTATAAGCCTTGCAGCACGAAAAATATTACAGAGCATGGACAGTACATTATTAAAGTTACAATACATATACAGCACATAACAAAGTTATTTATAATATCTAAATCAATTTAGAATTGACAGGCTTATTCTGTTTGCAATTTTAGAAAACCTGGACCTGAATATTTTATTGCTCTATGTAATAATCACTTAATTATTTTTTTAAATTTACAATTCCAGGAATTCAACTATAAATTTGTAAGAAAAATGTTCTCCTCTTGAACAACTGCCACTTGATTTATTAATAATCGACATATTTTAAAGCTAACAAGAAATATTACCACAGATATTAGTACCGGCTTTAATAAGAAGTAAAATGCTTAACCCAATTTATAAATTTAAGTAATTGAATCGGACTTAATTTTATTAAGTATGTGAGATATTATGAACTAGTAGAATTTTATTTACTTAACTAAGTAGACTCATTTCTATAACTATAACAATATATAATATAAAAAGTGGTAATTTAGGCGTATTTGTCCTAAACATTAGCCTAGGCATAGCCAATTGTGGTAGGAGAATATTTTTATTTTCAACTAGCTTGCTCGATGTGTATTGATGCTATCTTAGAATGGAAATTGAAGGAGCCTTGTGATTTAAAAATACCTGCATGATGTTTCAGAAAAAAGCCAGACCTATTAGCATAATACATGGAAAATGGAAACATTCATTATACAAAAGATTTTAAAGGACCTGGTGAAGAACAATGTCATATAATTTACTTGGACCTCACTTTTGTGTCGAATGCCATTCAAATATCAAAGTATTAAGTTGGAGTTATCAACCACCCCACCCGGCAGGTTGCTTAGAACTTATTTTCTAAATGGAAACATTTAAGCCAGTAGCGTACGCAGGGGGGGGGGGGGGGGTGAGCAGGGGGAGCGGCCACTCCTCCTCTGGCCGTTTTCATCAAAGTGGTGCCTTTTTGGAAACTTTTTAAACTCAAAGTTTTAAACAATGATTTTTGCTAAAAAATATTTTTGGTCAGCACATCTATGTAAATCACAAGATTTCTTTTCATGCAGCAATTAAGCATTATTGTACTAGTCTAGTAGTGTCTACGTTTACAACACGTATTAACAGCTGCATCAGTTTGCCATTCTAAAAATAACCATTACGATGCATTGCAATGTTTAAAAAATCCTCTACGGGTAGTACCACTTGGCAAGAGGGGTGTTAAGTTTAAGGCAACTGTATAATGTATTTGCTTACGAATAATTGAATTAGAAAATGTTATACATAAAACTTCACACATAATTACTTTATATATACAGTTTGAATCGTGTGATTATTTTTTTAAAAATTACAATACAGAAACAAATACAACTGATGTGGTACTTCTATTTAAATTTACTTATGAGCAAACTGCGTAGTGGTGGGGAAATTTTGACATGGTCAACAACATCATCACGATGAAGTAGTAGTATTCTTACAGTTTGGGCGATAGTGATTACGATTACAAATTATATGAAACAGTTACAACCCCCTCCCCCATGGACCCCTCTGTAAAAAAAAATATTGTCATAATACCACTGCTACTTATTTAAATCTATTTCTTTAATATATATTTGTGTAATATATATATTTGTGTAATATATATGTAAGTTTAGAACAGTCATCTAAAACCTGACGCTATGTTCACTCTGAGTTGGTTATCCCCCCCACCCTCCACCCCCACCTCACCACCACAATTGTGTAGAGCGACATTAATGTCACACCTAGGTATACACTGGGTTGGATAATTGACCTAAAGTGATTATTTCCCCTATTTCACTTGTCTTAAATAATTTCCCATGAATTATTATGTAAGAATTTTTTTTTACAAGAATTACAAAACAGATTGTATTACGTTCATTGTTTTTGGTTGTAGTGTGTGTATATAGTTTCTTTTTTTTTTGTTTAGATTGATACAACGTTTGTTTTGTCGGCCTACATTGTGTGTTTTTTCTTATTTCTTCAGAGTGCTACTTTCAATTTATGTTACATCATAGCGAAGTAATGACATAAAGCTAGTAATTATATGTATATTATATATATATATATATATTTATAATACACGTATATAGAACGTGTTAAAAATTCGGCACCTTTTTTGCTCTTTTCGCTCCCCCTACAACGGAAACCTGGATACGCCTCTGATTTAAGCACTACATTTTTCGAATCTTATTTGTTGGGACCGCGCATGGTGTGCTGGAAGATGCGTGTGGTTAAGTTTAACCATTCATATAAGTATTGACAATCATCCTCTATGTTAAGAAAGCTGCTGGATGCTACTGCTCTCCAATGCTAAGAAGTTTTCAAAGTCTGTAGAATGTACACAACAACCTCCCAAAGTTGCATGGTAATCAGATGAATGGTAGTGTAATGCTACTTTTAAGACAGTGAGACTTACTTTCTTTATAAGGATGTATAGAGAGATAAAAACATACATCAACCTAAATGACAGATTTGGTGATAATATATTTTAAAACCCTTTGTCATTCCAACATGTTAGTGTGATTATTCATCAAAATCTTTTACTCATGTGATTGTCTGCAATTCTTCTGCATGTATCACAGTGAAATTCACTTGAGAGAAAAAAACTTGAAATAATATTTAAGGAAAAGAAACACTGCAAAAAAAAATGGATTCAATGCACAAATATTTAAGTAGAAAGTCTAAAGCATTTTTCAAGAATATGTCATTATTAATACAGATTTTTACTTAGCTGGAGTCATTTCTGAGTCTGAAATGGTTTTCAATTATGTGCAAAAATGTGACATATTTGAAGCTGGATTGATAATCTTTCAACTGTCCTAAGCATGAAGTCAGTACAACTGTTATTTAAATTTGTTGCCAGACAGGCATGTTTTGATTGAATTATTTTATATTTATATTTTTTTTCCAGGGATGTACAAAATTCTGTACTTAACAATCTTCAGAAGTCTTTGGTAAGTGTTAAAAAGATTTTTCGGCCTTTCAATATGCATTGCACACTTTCTTCAAACGATGTTTGATTTTAAACACATAACTTTGTAAACAGGATACACATTTTAAAAAATCAGGTGTAGCAGCTATTGCGTTATTTCTCAGGCATCATTTTGATAACAAAATTCTGATTTTTATATTTTTATCAAGCTCAATCAAAAATATATTACGGAGCAAATACGGAATTTGAACGTGTTTCTGTATCAACTTCTACCTTTTCACGATGAAGCAATAGATACAGTCTGCATTTCACAATATTTTTTTATAAATATTAGTCACTTTCTTAAAATTAAAAGTAGGCTGTAAAGTAATGTAGGCGATTTTCATAATTAAGCCAAGTTTTGCGCTAAAAGAAATTGGTCTTATTCACATTGTCTTAAAAATATGCAAAGATATTCTAAAAGTTATGAACAGTATCAAATTATTGCAGAAAATCCTTTCTTGCCTAAAATATATTCGCAATGGGTAGGCAACCTTATATATGTATGTGTGTATATATATATATATATATATATATATATATATATATATACACATATATGCATATACATGTATAAATGTGTATGTATGTATAAGTATATATGCATATATATATAAGTATATATGCATGCATGTATAAGTATATACACATGTATGTATAAGTATGCACATGTATGTATAAGTATATACGCATGTATGTATAAGTGTATACGCATGTATGTATAAGTGTATACGCATGTATGTATAAGTGTATACCTATGTATGTATAAGTGTATACCTATGTATGTATAAGTGTATACCTATGTATGTATAAGTGTATACCTATGTATGTATAAGTGTATACCTATGTATGTATAAGTGTATACCTATGTATGTATAAGTGTATACCTATGTATGTATAAGTGTATACCTATGTATGTATTAGTATATATGTATGTATAAGTGTATATGTATAGATGTATATTTATATACATGGTGTGATTTTCTTATAACAACTAATAGAAAATTTTTTTTACTTCGAATTTCTAATTATAGATGCAAGGGCCAGCAATTTCAAAGGTGGTTCAGAGACGAAAGTCAAAAAGGCATGCTTCCATACGTTCACAAAAAAAGTAAGATGTTTTATTTTTACCTCAAATAGAAAACAGTAATTTGTATTTACATTTTTGAGGCGGCAACTAAAATAAACAGAATTAATTATTAGGCATAACAACAGAATTATCTTCATCTACTTTCCTTTGTAAATTTAATGATTTATGTTTAAATAGACGTCTATATCTTTTTTAATTAGTAGTTGTATTAAGAATCTGTTGTTTTTTTAAAAGACTTATCTCCCTTTTTATAAGCCTTGCAGCACGAAAAATATTACAGAGCATGGACAGTACATTATTAAAGTTACAATACATATACAGCACATAACAAAGTTATTTATAATATCTAAATCAATTTAGAATTGACAGGCTTATTCTGTTTGCAATTTTAGAAAACCTGGACCTGAATATTTTATTGCTCTATGTAATAATCACTTAATTATTTTTTTAAATTTACAATTCCAGGAATTCAACTATAAATTTGTAAGAAAAATGTTCTCCTCTTGAACAACTGCCACTTGATTTATTAATAATCGACATATTTTAAAGCTAACAAGAAATATTACCACAGATATTAGTACCGGCTTTAATAAGAAGTAAAATGCTTAACCCAATTTATAAATTTAAGTAATTGAATCGGACTTAATTTTATTAAGTATGTGAGATATTATGAACTAGTAGAATTTTATTTACTTAACTAAGTAGACTCATTTCTATAACTATAACAATATATAATATAAAAAGTGGTAATTTAGGCGTATTTGTCCTAAACATTAGCCTAGGCATAGCCAATTGTGGTAGGAGAATATTTTTATTTTCAACTAGCTTGCTCGATGTGTATTGATGCTATCTTAGAATGGAAATTGAAGGAGCCTTGTGATTTAAAAATACCTGCATGATGTTTCAGAAAAAAGCCAGACCTATTAGCATAATACATGGAAAATGGAAACATTCATTATACAAAAGATTTTAAAGGACCTGGTGAAGAACAATGTCATATAATTTACTTGGACCTCACTTTTGTGTCGAATGCCATTCAAATATCAAAGTATTAAGTTGGAGTTATCAACCACCCCACCCGGCAGGTTGCTTAGAACTTATTTTCTAAATGGAAACATTTAAGCCAGTAGCGTACGCAGGGGGGGGGGGGAGCAGGGGGAGCGGCCACTCCTCCTCTGGCCGTTTTCATCAAAGTGGTGCCTTTTTGGAAACTTTTTAAACTCAAAGTTTTAAACAATGATTTTTGCTAAAAAATATTTTTGGTCAGCACATCTATGTAAATCACAAGATTTCTTTTCATGCAGCAATTAAGCATTATTGTACTAGTCTAGTAGTGTCTACGTTTACAACACGTATTAACAGCTGCATCAGTTTGCCATTCTAAAAATAACCATTACGATGCATTGCAATGTTTAAAAAATCCTCTACAGGTAGTACCACTTGGCAAGAGGGGTGTTAAGTTTAAGGCAACTGTATAATGTATTTGCTTACGAATAATTGAATTAGAAAATGTTATACATAAAACTTCACACATAATTACTTTATATATACAGTTTGAATCGTGTGATTATTTTTTTAAAAATTACAATACAGAAACAAATACAACTGATGTGGTACTTCTATTTAAATTTACTTATGAGCAAACTGCGTAGTGGTGGGGAAATTTTGACATGGTCAACAACATCATCACGATGAAGTAGTAGTATTCTTACAGTTTGGGCGATAGTGATTACGATTACAAATTATATGAAACAGTTACAACCCCCTCCCCCATGGACCCCTCTGTAAAAAAAAATATTGTCATAATACCACTGCTACTTATTTAAATCTATTTCTTTAATATATATTTGTGTAATATATATATTTGTGTAATATATATGTAAGTTTAGAACAGTCATCTAAAACCTGACGCTATGTTCACTCTGAGTTGGTTATCCCCCCCACCCTCCACCCCCACCTCACCACCACAATTGTGTAGAGCGACATTAATGTCACACCTAGGTATACACTGGGTTGGATAATTGACCTAAAGTGATTATTTCCCCTATTTCACTTGTCTTAAATAATTTCCCATGAATTATTATGTAAGAATTTTTTTTTACAAGAATTACAAAACAGATTGTATTACGTTCATTGTTTTTGGTTGTAGTGTGTGTATATAGTTTCTTTTTTTTTTTGTTTAGATTGATACAACGTTTGTTTTGTCGGCCTACATTGTGTGTTTTTTCTTATTTCTTCAGAGTGCTACTTTCAATTTATGTTACATCATAGCGAAGTAATGACATAAAGCTAGTAATTATATGTATATTATATATATATATATATATTTATAATACACGTATATAGAACGTGTTAAAAATTCGGCACCTTTTTTGCTCTTTTCGCTCCCCCTACAACGGAAACCTGGATACGCCTCTGATTTAAGCACTACATTTTTCGAATCTTATTTGTTGGGACCGCGCATGGTGTGCTGGAAGATGCGTGTGGTTAAGTTTAACCATTCATATAAGTATTGACAATCATCCTCTATGTTAAGAAAGCTGCTGGATGCTACTGCTCTCCAATGCTAAGAAGTTTTCAAAGTCTGTAGAATGTACACAACAACCTCCCAAAGTTGCATGGTAATCAGATGAATGGTAGTGTAATGCTACTTTTAAGACAGTGAGACTTACTTTCTTTATAAGGATGTATAGAGAGATAAAAACATACATCAACCTAAATGACAGATTTGGTGATAATATATTTTAAAACCCTTTGTCATTCCAACATGTTAGTGTGATTATTCATCAAAATCTTTTACTCATGTGATTGTCTGCAATTCTTCTGCATGTATCACAGTGAAATTCACTTGAGAGAAAAAAACTTGAAATAATATTTAAGGAAAAGAAACACTGCAAAAAAAAATGGATTCAATGCACAAATATTTAAGTAGAAAGTCTAAAGCATTTTTCAAGAATATGTCATTATTAATACAGATTTTTACTTAGCTGGAGTCATTTCTGAGTCTGAAATGGTTTTCAATTATGTGCAAAAATGTGACATATTTGAAGCTGGATTGATAATCTTTCAACTGTCCTAAGCATGAAGTCAGTACAACTGTTATTTAAATTTGTTGCCAGACAGGCATGTTTTGATTGAATTATTTTATATTTATATTTTTTTTCCAGGGATGTACAAAATTCTGTACTTAACAATCTTCAGAAGTCTTTGGTAAGTGTTAAAAAGATTTTTCGGCCTTTCAATATGCATTGCACACTTTCTTCAAACGATGTTTGATTTTAAACACATAACTTTGTAAACAGGATACACATTTTAAAAAATCAGGTGTAGCAGCTATTGCGTTATTTCTCAGGCATCATTTTGATAACAAAATTCTGATTTTTATATTTTTATCAAGCTCAATCAAAAATATATTACGGAGCAAATACGGAATTTGAACGTGTTTCTGTATCAACTTCTACCTTTTCACGATGAAGCAATAGATACAGTCTGCATTTCACAATATTTTGTTATAAATATTAGTCACTTTCTTAAAATTAAAAGTAGGCTGTAAAGTAATGTAGGCGATTTTCATAATTAAGCCAAGTTTTGCGCTAAAAGAAATTGGTCTTATTCACATTGTCTTAAAAATATGCAAAGATATTCTAAAAGTTATGAACAGTATCAAATTATTGCAGAAAATCCTTTCTTGCCTAAAATATATTCGCAATGGGTAGGCAACCTTATATATGTATGTGTGTATATATATATATATATATATATATATATATATATATATATATACACATATATGCATATACATGTATAAATGTGTATGTATGTATAAGTATATATGCATATATATATAAGTATATATGCATGCATGTATAAGTATATACACATGTATGTATAAGTATGCACATGTATGTATAAGTATATACGCATGTATGTATAAGTGTATACGCATGTATGTATAAGTGTATACGCATGTATGTATAAGTGTATACCTATGTATGTATAAGTGTATACCTATGTATGTATAAGTGTATACCTATGTATGTATAAGTGTATACCTATGTATGTATAAGTGTATACCTATGTATGTATAAGTGTATACCTATGTATGTATAAGTGTATACCTATGTATGTATAAGTGTATACGTATGTATGTATTAGTATATATGTATGTATAAGTGTATATGTATAGATGTATATTTATATACATGGTGTGATTTTCTTATAACAACTAATAGAAAATTTTTTTTACTTCGAATTTCTAATTATAGATGCAAGGGCCAGCAATTTCAAAGGTGGTTCAGAGACGAAAGTCAAAAAGGCATGCTTCCATACGTTCACAAAAAAAGTAAGATGTTTTATTTTTACCTCAAATAGAAAACAGTAATTTGTATTTACATTTTTGAGGCGGCAACTAAAATAAACAGAATTAATTATTAGGCATAACAACAGAATTATCTTCATCTACTTTCCTTTGTAAATTTAATGATTTATGTTTAAATAGACGTCTATATCTTTTTTAATTAGTAGTTGTATTAAGAATCTGTTGTTTTTTTAAAAGACTTATCTCCCTTTTTATAAGCCTTGCAGCACGAAAAATATTACAGAGCATGGACAGTACATTATTAAAGTTACAATACATATACAGCACATAACAAAGTTATTTATAATATCTAAATCAATTTAGAATTGACAGGCTTATTCTGTTTGCAATTTTAGAAAACCTGGACCTGAATATTTTATTGCTCTATGTAATAATCACTTAATTATTTTTTTAAATTTACAATTCCAGGAATTCAACTATAAATTTATAAGAAAAATGTTCTCCTCTTGAACAACTGCCACTTGATTTATTAATAATCGACATATTTTAAAGCTAACAAGAAATATTACCACAGATATTAGTACCGGCTTTAATAAGAAGTAAAATGCTTAACCCAATTTATAAATTTAAGTAATTGAATCGGACTTAATTTTATTAAGTATGTGAGATATTATGAACTAGTAGAATTTTATTTACTTAACTAAGTAGACTCATTTCTATAACTATAACAATATATAATATAAAAAGTGGTAATTTAGGCGTATTTGTCCTAAACATTAGCCTAGGCATAGCCAATTGTGGTAGGAGAATATTTTTATTTTCAACTAGCTTGCTCGATGTGTATTGATGCTATCTTAGAATGGAAATTGAAGGAGCCTTGTGATTTAAAAATACCTGCATGATGTTTCAGAAAAAAGCCAGACCTATTAGCATAATACATGGAAAATGGAAACATTCATTATACAAAAGATTTTAAAGGACCTGGTGAAGAACAATGTCATATAATTTACTTGGACCTCACTTTTGTGTCGAATGCCATTCAAATATCAAAGTATTAAGTTGGAGTTATCAACCACCCCACCCGGCAGGTTGCTTAGAACTTATTTTCTAAATGGAAACATTTAAGCCAGTAGCGTACGCAGGGGGGGGGGGGGGGGAGCAGGGGGAGCGGCCACTCCTCCTCTGGCCGTTTTCATCAAAGTGGTGCCTTTTTGGAAACTTTTTAAACTCAAAGTTTTAAACAATGATTTTTGCTAAAAAATATTTTTGGTCAGCACATCTATGTAAATCACAAGATTTCTTTTCATGCAGCAATTAAGCATTATTGTACTAGTCTAGTAGTGTCTACGTTTACAACACGTATTAACAGCTGCATCAGTTTGCCATTCTAAAAATAACCATTACGATGCATTGCAATGTTTAAAAAATCCTCTACAGGTAGTACCACTTGGCAAGAGGGGTGTTAAGTTTAAGGCAACTGTATAATGTATTTGCTTACGAATAATTGAATTAGAAAATGTTATACATAAAACTTCACACATAATTACTTTATATATACAGTTTGAATCGTGTGATTATTTTTTTAAAAATTACAATACAGAAACAAATACAACTGATGTGGTACTTCTATTTAAATTTACTTATGAGCAAACTGCGTAGTGGTGGGGAAATTTTGACATGGTCAACAACATCATCACGATGAAGTAGTAGTATTCTTACAGTTTGGGCGATAGTGATTACGATTACAAATTATATGAAACAGTTACAACCCCCTCCCCCATGGACCCCTCTGTAAAAAAAAATATTGTCATAATACCACTGCTACTTATTTAAATCTATTTCTTTAATATATATTTGTGTAATATATATATTTGTGTAATATATATGTAAGTTTAGAACAGTCATCTAAAACCTGACGCTATGTTCACTCTGAGTTGGTTATCCCCCCCACCCTCCACCCCCACCTCACCACCACAATTGTGTAGAGCGACATTAATGTTACACCTAGGTATACACTGGGTTGGATAATTGACCTAAAGTGATTATTTCCCCTATTTCACTTGTCTTAAATAATTTCCCATGAATTATTATGTAAGAATTTTTTTTTACAAGAATTACAAAACAGATTGTATTACGTTCATTGTTTTTGGTTGTAGTGTGTGTATATAGTTTCTTTTTTTTTTTGTTTAGATTGATACAACGTTTGTTTTGTCGGCCTACATTGTGTGTTTTTTCTTATTTCTTCAGAGTGCTACTTTCAATTTATGTTACATCATAGCGAAGTAATGACATAAAGCTAGTAATTATATGTATATTATATATATATATATATATTTATAATACACGTATATAGAACGTGTTAAAAATTCGGCACCTTTTTTGCTCTTTTCGCTCCCCCTACAACGGAAACCTGGATACGCCTCTGATTTAAGCACTACATTTTTCGAATCTTATTTGTTGGGACCGCGCATGGTGTGCTGGAAGATGCGTGTGGTTAAGTTTAACCATTCATATAAGTATTGACAATCATCCTCTATGTTAAGAAAGCTGCTGGATGCTACTGCTCTCCAATGCTAAGAAGTTTTCAAAGTCTGTAGAATGTACACAACAACCTCCCAAAGTTGCATGGTAATCAGATGAATGGTAGTGTAATGCTACTTTTAAGACAGTGAGACTTACTTTCTTTATAAGGATGTATAGAGAGATAAAAACATACATCAACCTAAATGACAGATTTGGTGATAATATATTTTAAAACCCTTTGTCATTCCAACATGTTAGTGTGATTATTCATCAAAATCTTTTACTCATGTGATTGTCTGCAATTCTTCTGCATGTATCACAGTGAAATTCACTTGAGAGAAAAAAACTTGAAATAATATTTAAGGAAAAGAAACACTGCAAAAAAAAATGGATTCAATGCACAAATATTTAAGTAGAAAGTCTAAAGCATTTTTCAAGAATATGTCATTATTAATACAGATTTTTACTTAGCTGGAGTCATTTCTGAGTCTGAAATGGTTTTCAATTATGTGCAAAAATGTGACATATTTGAAGCTGGATTGATAATCTTTCAACTGTCCTAAGCATGAAGTCAGTACAACTGTTATTTAAATTTGTTGCCAGACAGGCATGTTTTGATTGAATTATTTTATATTTATATTTTTTTTCCAGGGATGTACAAAATTCTGTACTTAACAATCTTCAGAAGTCTTTGGTAAGTGTTAAAAAGATTTTTCGGCCTTTCAATATGCATTGCACACTTTCTTCAAACTATGTTTGATTTTAAACACATAACTTTGTAAACAGGATACACATTTTAAAAAATCAGGTGTAGCAGCTATTGCGTTATTTCTCAGGCATCATTTTGATAACAAAATTCTGATTTTTATATTTTTATCAAGCTCAATCAAAAATATATTACGGAGCAAATACGGAATTTGAACGTGTTTCTGTATCAACTTCTACCTTTTCACGATGAAGCAATAGATACAGTCTGCATTTCACAATATTTTTTTATAAATATTAGTCACTTTCTTAAAATTAAAAGTAGGCTGTAAAGTAATGTAGGCGATTTTCATAATTAAGCCAAGTTTTGCGCTAAAAGAAATTGGTCATATTCACATTGTCTTAAAAATATGCAAAGATATTCTAAAAGTTATGAACAGTATCAAATTATTGCAGAAAATCCTTTCTTGCCTAAAATATATTCTCAATGGGTAGGCAACCTTATATATATACATATATATGTGTGTGTGTGTAAGTGTGTGTATATATATATATATATATATATATATATAAATATATATATACATACACATATATGCATATACATGTATAAATGTGTATGTATGTATAAGTATATATGCATATAAGTATATATGCATGCATGTATAAGTATATACACATGTATGTATAAGTATGCACATGTATGTATAAGTATATACGCATGTATGTATAAGTATATACACATGTATGTATAAGTGTATACGCATGTATGTATAAGTGTATACGCATGTATGTATAAGTGTATACGCATGTATGTATAAGTGTATACGCATGTGTGTATACGCATGTATGTATAAGTGTATACGCATGTATGTATAAGTGTATACGCATGTATGTATTAGTATATACGTATGTATAAGTATATATGCAAATATGTATAAGTGTATATGTATAGATGTATATTTATATACATGGTGTGATTTTCTTATAACAACTAATAGAAAAAATTTTTTACTTCGAATTTCTAATTATAGATGCAAGGGCCAGCAATTTCAAAGGTGGTTCAGAGACGAAAGTCAGAAAGGCGTGCTTCCATACGTACACAAAAAAAGTAAGATGTTTTATTTTTACCTAAAATAGAAAACAGTAATTAATTTGTATTTACATTTTTGAGGCGGCAACTAAAATAAACAGAATTAATTATTAGGCATAACAACAGAATTATCTTCATCTACTTTCCTTTGTAAATTTAATGATTTATGTTTAAATAGACGTCTATATTTTTTTTAATTAGTAGTTGTATTAAGAATCAGTTGTTTTTTTAAAAGACTTATCTCCCTTTTTATAAGCCTTGCAGCACGAAAAATATTACAGAGCATGGACAGTACATTATTAAAGTTACAATACATATACAGCACATAACAAAGTTATTTATAATATCTAAATCAATTTAGAATTGACAGGCTTATTCTGTTTGCAATTTTAGAAAACCTGGACCTGAATATTTTATTGCTCTATGTAATAATCACTTAATTATTTTTTTAAATTTACAATTCCAGGAATTCAACTATAAATTTGTAAGAAAAATGTTCTCCTCTTGAACAACTGCCACTTGATTTATTAATAATCGACATATTTTAAAGCTAACAAGAAATATTACCACAGATATTAGTACCGGCTTTAATAAGAAGTAAAATGCTTAACCCAATTTATAAATTTAAGTAATTGAATCGGACTTAATTTTATTAAGTATGTGAGATATTATGAACTAGTAGAATTTTATTTACTGAACTAAGTAGACCCATTTCTATAACTATAACAATATATAACATAAAAAGTGGTAATTTAGGCGTATTTGTCCTAAAGATTAGCCTAGGCATAGCCAATTGTGGTAGGAGAATATTTTTATTTTCAACTAGCTTGCTCGATGTGTATTGATGCTATCTTAGAATGGAAATTTAAGGAGCCTTGTGATTTAAAAATACCTGCATGATGTTTCAGAAAAAAGCCAGACCTATTAGCATAATACATGGAAAATGGAAACATTCAGTATACAAAAGATTTTAAAGGACCTGGTGAAGAACAATGTCATATAATTTACTTGGACCTCACTTTTGTGTCGAATGCCATTCAAATATCAAACTATTAAGTTGGAGTTATCAACCACCCCACCCGGCAGGTTGCTTAGAACTTATTTTCTAAATGGAAACATTTAAGCCAGTAGCGTACGCAGGGGGGAGCAGGGGGAGCGGCCACTCCTCCTCTGGCCGTTTTCAGCAAAGTGGTGCCTTTTTGGAAACTTTTTAAACTCAAAGTTTTAAACAATGATTTTTGCTAAAAAAATATTTTTGGTCAGCACATCTATGTAAATCACAAGATTTCTTTTCATGCAGCAATTAAGCATTATTGTACTAGTCTAGTAGTGTCTACGTTTACAACACGTATTAACAGCTGCATCAGTTTGCCATTCTAAAAATAACCATTACGATGCATTGCAATGTTTAAAAAAATCCTCTACGGGTAGTACCACTTGGCAAGAGGGGTTTTAAGTTTAAGGGGGAAGGCTCCGGTAAAAAAAAACTTTTTTAATACTCGTTAGAAAACAGTTATTTCTTTACAGCTTTATTAAGATACATCCGCATATGCTTTTCCACTAAAAATTTTTTTTGAAAATATCTTGGTAACTATGACAACGGCGGCCATCTTGAAAAATTAACCCCTTCGTAGGTTTTCCACCATTCACAAAATATTACATTTTAAGCCCAATAAACAATCAATTCATAATCTTCTTCCATATTTTGGGGTAATCAGCTAAAAATTTTAAGTGTATATCTTCAAACTAATTTTTTATGAATTTTTAAAATTTGTGTCCGTTCAAAACACTAGTTTTAATGCCCCAAAATTCCCCAAAGTTAAGTGTTTTGAACGGACACAAATTTTGAAAATTCATAAAAAATTAGTTTGAAGATATGCACTTAAAATTTTTAGCTGATTACCCCAAAATATGGAAGAATATTATGAATTGATTGTTTATTGGGCTTAAAGTGTAATATTTTATGAATGGTGGAAAACCTACGAAGGGGTTAATTTTTCAAGATGGCCGCCGTTGTCATAGTTACCAAGATATTTTCAAAAAATTTTTTTAGTGGAAAAGCATATGCGGATGTATCTTAATAAAGCTGTAAAGAAATAACTGTTTTCTAACGAGTATTAAAAAAGTTTTTTTTTACCGGAGCCTTCCCCCTTAAGGCAACTGTATAATGTATTTGCTTACGAATAATTGAATTAGAAAATGTTATACATAAAACTTCACACATAATTACTTTATATATACAGTTTGAATCGTGTGATTAATTTTTTTAAAATTACAATACAGAAACAAATATAACTGATGTGGTACTTCTATTTAAATTTACTTATGAGCAAACTGCGTAGTGGTGGGGAAATTTTGACATGGTCAACAACATCATCACGATGAAGTAGTAGTATTCTTACAGTTTGGGCGATAGTGATTACGATTACAAATTATATGAAACAGTTACAACCCCCTCCCCCATGGACCCCTCTGTAAAAAAAAATATTGTCATAATACCACTGCTACTTATTTAAATCTATTTCTTTAATATATATTTGTGTAATATATATATTTGTGTAATATATATGTAAGTTTAGAACAGTCATCTAAAACCTGACGCTATGTTCACTCTGAGTTGGTTATCCCCCCCACCCTCCACCCCCACCTCACCACCACAATTGTGTAGAGCGACATTAATGTCACACCTAGGTATACACTGGGTTGGATAATTGACCTAAAGTGATTATTTCCCCTATTTCACTTGTCTTAAATAATTTCCCATGAATTATTATGTAAGAATTTTTTTTACAAGAATTACAAAACAGATTGTGTTACTGTTCATTGTTTATGGTTGTAGTGTGTGTATATAGTTTCTTTTTTTTTTTTGTTTAGATTGATACAACTTTTGTTTTGTTGGCCTACATTGTGTGTTTTTTCTTATTTCTTCAGAGTGCTACTTTCAATTTATTTTACATCATAGCAAAGTAATGACATAAAGCTAGTAATTATATATATTATATATATTATATATATTATATATATATATATATATATATATATATATATATATATATATATATATATATAATACACGTATATAGAACGTGTTTAAAATTCGGCACCTTTTTTTGCTCTTTTCGCTCCCCCTACAATGAAAACCTGGATACGCCTCTGATTTAAGCACTACATTTTTCGTATCTTATTTGTTGGGACCGCGCATGGTGTGCTGGAAGATGCGTGTGGTTAAGTTTAACCATTCATATAAGTATTGACAATCATCCTCTATGTTAAGAAAGCTGCTGGATGCTACTGCTCTCCAATGCTAAGAAGTTTTCAAAGTCTGTAGAATGTACACAACAACCTCCCAAAGTTGCATGGTAATCAGATGAATGGTAGTGTAATGCTACTTTTAAGACAGTGAGACTTACTTTCTTTATAAGTATGTATAGAGAGATAAAAACATACATCAACCTAAATGACAGATTTGGTGATAATATATTTTAAAACCCTTTGTCATTCCAACATGTTAGTGTGATTATTCATCAAAATCTTTTACTCATGTGATTGTCTGCAATTCTTCTGCTTGTATCACAGTGAAATTCACTCGAGAGAAAAAAAAACTTGAAATAATATTTAAGGAAAAGAAACACAGCAAAAAAAAAATGGATTCAATGCACAAATATTTAAGTAGAAAGTCTAAAGCATTTTTCAAGAATATGTCATTATTAATACAGATTTTTACTTAGCTGGAGTCATTTCTGAGTCTGAAATGGTTTTCATTTATGTGCAAAAATGTGACATATTTGAAGCTAGATTGATAATCTTTCAACTGTCCTAAGCATGAAGTCAGTACAACTGTTATTTAAATTTTTTGCCAGACAGGCATGTTTTGATTGAATTATTTTATATTTATATTTTTTTTTCCAGGGATGTACAAAATGCTGTACTTAACAATCTTCAGAAGTCTTTGGTAAGTGTTAAAAAGATTTTTCGGCCTTTCAATATGCATTGCACACTTTCTTCAAACGATGTTTGATTTTAAACACATAACTTTGTAAACAGGATACACATTTTAAAAAATCAGGTGTAGCAGCTATTGCGTTATTTCTCAGGCATCATTTTGATAACAAAATTCTGATTTTTATATTTTTATCAAGCTCAATCAAAAATATATTACGGAGCAAATACGGAATTTGAACGTGTTTCTGTATCAACTTCTACCTTTTCACGATGAAGCAATAGATACAGTCAACTTGTTGAAAGAAAAACTTCTTTTTCTGTTGTATTGTTTGAAAAAGGTGAGGTAAAATTATGGGTTATGCACGTTAATTAATAGTAACTAAACCCAATTTTTACTAACAGCTTTAGGCTATTGAGTATGCAAAAACAACCTCAAACTTGTTTTTGTATCACAAAAGCTAAAATACAAGTTAAGTGAGAAGTTCCTATGTGGCCTATTCAAGTAGGTTTTTTCTTCAAGTTTTTTATTTTTTAAAGATACAATATTGTAAATTTTGTGTTTCCTGAAATTTCATTTAACCATTAATGACCCGTAACGCCCACTGCCGCCCGCTACCAATGATGGCCTGTAATGCCCACTGCCGCCCGTTTACAATATGCATCGAAAAATTAAATTTGTTTCATAAAAATTTAGCCTAAAAATCCTCATTTTTTTTACTAAACAGGAAGTTGGATAGTTCCAGCATCTGTTTCCTGTTTACAAATTTCAATCAGGATTTTGAAAGATACATAATATTAGTCTCTTTCCATCCCAAAACTTTTAGTTTTAGACTCAACTGTCCTATTTTCAGTTGATTTTAGATTAAAAATCAAATAAAAACATGCTCTAAAAAGCGAGAGCAATTCCTCGAATTGATTTTATTTAATTTTAATTCATTAAAAAATATTTATTCAGCTTTAGCCCTTCCAGAAGAAACCATGAGATTTCCGCATACACTTCTTTTCTGGCTGATTTTTAAAAGCATAAACAGTAAACAGATCAATGAAGTTTTCAGATTTGTTTTTGTGTTGTTGAACACTGACTTCGTTAAAGAACAAATTTGAATAATATATATTTATTTATACACATATATATTATTATATATACAGATATTTTCATCAGTGTTATTAACAATTTCATAGTAACAGAAACTTCTTTTATTTTAGATATTTGCTATATTAAGGTTTTAATTTATACAATAGTAGATTGATGGGGGATTTTCGTTTTTAAGTAAAATATTTGCTGTCTACAGTGTTTTGGTTGCCCGAATTACTTCACACAAACTCTGCAAGCAAACCACTTTTAAGATTAGATACATGACTTAGGCTGTAATGTCAGTGTGTTTATTATAGAGTATCGATGATGTCACTTTTTTTAGGGGGGTGGGGTGGCTTTAACGTTCTTAAGGGGAGGGGGTGAGGGGTGGGGCTTAGCCCCATCCCGAAGAATTGCATGAAAGAAACTGCACGCACAACACGTTTAAGATTTGATACATTAATTAGGCAGTAATGTCAGTGTTTAATTATAGTTATATAGTATCGATGACGTCATTTCTTTTGAGGGGTGCTTAGACGTTCTTAAGGGAGGGGTGCCTTACCTGAAGAATTGCATTAAAGAAACTCTTTTCGCAAACCACTCTAAACATACATACACAGATAGATAGACAGACAGCGAAACCATCTATAACGAGATAAATGGCCAGTTGAGGAAGGATACAACCGGCGCTAAGTTTGATAGTGTTTTTATTTTTTTCTCTAAATCAAAACCAAATCAACCACCCACCCCACACACAAACCCTTAAGCACGTCTACCGTCGAAATATACTTTTTATAGAAAACATATTTTCACCTGTGTCCGCCCCCTTACAAAAAATTTAGTCCACCCTCACCCCCGAAAATTTCAAGAACCCCCCCCCCCCCCCCAGTAGGGATAACTCTAAAAGAAACAGTGGTCGCATTTGTAGCTCAAACAAACTAAAGGTAGAGCCTACTTCTATAATATAGGCCTGTTTTCTACTTCCGACCGATACATTTTACTCACGCAGACAGTGTTTGTTTCAGGCTTTTTTTCCGGGGGTGGGGCATTTGAATTTTTGCAGGGGCGAATACATTTCGATGGTTCATATTTTCTATATAAGTTATATTTCACCTTTTTTTTGGGGGGGGGGGGATCAAATGTTCTACCGTGGGGGAGGAGGGGAACAAAAGAGGCTTTGCCCCTACCAGAAGAGAAACTTTTCACGCTAAACACTAATAACAATAAACACATAATTTAGGCTGTAATTTCAGTTTTTTTATTATGGAGTATCGATGACGTCATTACTTTGAAAGGGCAACCCCCCCCCCCCCCCTCTTAATTCATGTTTAAGATTAGGTGCAAGGTTTAGGGATATGACTTCGACTATGTTTAGTATCAATATGCAGTAACTACACGTAGATCAAGCTTAATACCGGTTTAAATGCAGATTCTGGTCAGAAATCCGTTTTCAATGACATTTTTTGTTTCCTGTTAAATTTGAAGTTGAGGAGGTAATTTTCTATTTGATTTCGATTTAGAGAAAAAGACCTATCAACCTAGCGCCTGTTGTATCTCTCCCTCAACGGGCCATTTATCTCACCTATAATATCAGTTTCGCTGTCGGGAACGCTTTTAGTATAGAGAAAACACAGAGTAAAAACATACATAGTAATACAAAAAACAACATTTTAGGTGGTGACTTTTAGCACCCGTTGTATCCTTCCTCGACTGGACTTTTATCTCGTTATTATAGACTAACACAAAACAGGTTGTTTTGTATTTGGGACCAAGATGAGTCAACTATTTTCTTTATATGCACAATCCTTGAAATATTAATTTTTGTTTAAAGATTGTAATGTATAAAATAACATAGTATGAATCAAATGTCTTGAAAAATAACTATTGTCACATTTTATTTTTCTTTAAATTCTGACTGGACATAAAGTTTTAGAGTTTAAAAATTTCAGTTTTGTGATCAAATTTTGGGATATGATTCATATTAAAAATGATGAGTGCGACCCCTCCCCCCCTAAAAGATGTCAGCTTTTTTTGTGGTTTAATAAAATTAAATTCGGCAAACTTATGTTCAATGGTTATGCGCGTTGAAATGTATATGAATAATGGTAGGGAATTTCTTTGAAAAGCAGGAGATTTTCTGGTCCTAAAATTGTTGAAACTCTGTTTTTAATAGTGTGGGGGTCGCGGGACAATTAGCTTTTATAAAATTGGGTTACCGCTAGAAAAAGTTTTGCAACCTGTGATTTAGGTTTTTGAAAAAAAAATTAAATAACATTTAAAATTTAACTATTTGAGATGTTTGATTACTTTGAACACATATATTATCAAGACATTACAGTCTTGAGACCATTTAAAAAAAAATCAGTTTAATTTAGTGTACCTACTTTAATTATTTAACAATGATTAAATATTTACCATTTTAGATTTAATGTTTTGAATTGATAAATTATTTATTTTCAATTTTAGTCTGTCCATCAAAGAAAACAAGGCGAAAATGGATTGTCTGATGAGCTTAAGAAATTGTTTAAAGATCTTCTATTTCAGCCCAATTTTGATAAATTGCCCATTGTGAAATATGCATCAGTTAAATTTGATGAGTCTCTGATGGAATTCATTGGTGATACCATTTCTTTTAAAAACACAGTTCATGTTATGTGTGAGTTTTTAGGTTTAGCTCCAGAATTGCGTGATAATTTTAAGAAAATTGAAGAAGAATTTCAGTACCACATTCCCTATGAAGGTTGGATTAAAAAACTTTTTTATGACAACTATTGTGACTTAAGCATTAATGCAGAGGAAGATCTAGCATCAAGTTTAATGAAATTAGGATACACTGAAGAGAAATCAAACATAATAGCTAGCTTAGTACCCGAAGATCTGCGCCAAGTACACTCTCCATACTTTTGGGCTTTAAGGTATTTGGACTACTCATTTTACAATGAAGGCCTGCTGTTGGAAATACCAAAGTTCCATTTCCAGTCTGATATGGTAAATGAATGGTTTAAACAATATTGTAGCTACGATGATGATGGCAACAGCTGCAAAGAGGTAAAAATGATAAACTTGTCAAGTAAGAAGGTCGAGGAAGAAAAAGTCCTACCTTTACTTGTTGAATCTGAGGACTGTGTATTTCTTTATCACGGAACAACTTACCAGAGTTGTCTTAACTTGATTAGAAATGGAATTAAGCTAGGCAGAGGTAGCGCTAATCAAGATTTCTCAAGCAGAAAAGGATTTTACTTGTCTGAAGATCTGGAGGAAGCCAAGAGATGGGGAAGTGCTGGGCGTGGGGACACTTATGCTGTTTTAGTTTATAAAGTGAGTCGAGACTTTATGGATGCTGAACAGCAACATGGACTGAATTTAACAGACTATGATCAGTGGAATAGTGTTGTTAAATATTGTAGGAGTGGCTATAAAGTTAAATTAGATTCTTCTATAAGCCTAGAAAATGTGTCTTTCATTCGTGGACCAACAGCTGCTGGCAAAGCATTCACAAACAGTCATCTTGGCGGTAACTTTCAAATGGGAGACTCTACTCAGATATGCATCAGAGATCAAAAGTTTGCAACAAAATTTGGAGACTTTCACAATGTATTTTTTGCTCTTTTCTTCTAAGTAAGCAAATGTTGTTTTTCCATACATAGGTTTCTTTTACGTATGTACAAACCTATACCATACTGCTGTACCAAAAATTTCTCTTTAAAAAAATTAGATCTTACACTTTTGACCTGTAACCTTATTTAAATAAATTTGCAGATTCAGAAGAAACAAAGACAATACAATAATTTATTAATTCTAGGTTGACATATTATCAAACAAATTGTTAGATACTAGTGTTAGGTGTATTGTGTAATTATAACATGTTAAGAGTATAACTGGTTATTTTTTTAAAAAATACACTGTCAAATTTATTTCTTTTTTGGTCGTAGCAGTAGGCTGTTCAATGTTTCATGGATAAAATGCATCTTGTTCAGGAAACCAAAGAGATTGTTCGTAAAACAAATCACTTTATTTGAAGAATAGGAGATGGATGCTTGGAAGCATGATAAATTGAAAATATATTTTAAATAGAATTCTTACATCACTTTAATGGTTTTACTTTTTTTTTATTGTAGAATTTAAAATAATTTCTCCTAATATGTAATAATAATAATTAATCGATGCACATTGTGTTTAACTAGACCAATTATTTTAGAAATAGTCATTTTCAAATATTTGGAATTTGGGGGATCATAATCTCAACTTAAGTATGAGGTCATTTAGGTAAATAGGGCTTTATTTAAGGCTGTCCCGTGAAGGTGGGTCTAATTGAATGGACAATACTACATCATAATTTATTACTGATTAACCACTGGACCAATTGCTTTGAGATTCTAGATACGATACCTACACATATAATGCTTGCTTTCTACACAAAAATAATGTTAAATTTTACACGTGTGCATGAGGGTGAGCCAATTTAGGTTCACTATACCTCTTCCTCCTAACATGGTTCAAATTGACCAATATACAATTTATATAGCAAAAAAATTTTCAGAAAGTGACGGCGAAAATGTTACAAATCTATACAAGTCTCAAACAACTCCCTTTGGGCTAAACATTTTGTGCTCCTTAAATTTATCCCTCCTTGGCTTGCTAAAGACAACAATTTTAAACTTTCTTTTACAAAGCACAATCTTTTTTTCAACATTGTTGTCATGTTTTAATGAACCATATTCTGAAAATCAATGATATAGAGAATAACTAATGTATCAATCTGTGATAACTTTTTACTGTACTTTGAACTATTTTTTTGCTACTAATCTGTGTCTTGTATGCATATTGATGCAAGAATGATGGACCCCAAAAAGGAAAGGCTGCATAATGAAATCATTAAATTATGACTCTTGCAATATGCCCCAAATGGTCAAAGAAAGAGGTAGCTAATGATCACAATTTACAATATTTTAGAAATCACATTTAAATTAAATTTGTAACTAATGTTAAAAATATGTTAAAACTGTTGTTATTGGGCAAAAAAAACCTTGTAAAATCACTCACTGAGTGTTGGGCCCAACAGGTTAGATCTATTTGTCAAATATATAGTTTATTTCTCTTTACTGTGCATTCTGTGCTAACTGATAAAAATTGTGATTAAGTTTTCTTGCAAATGAAAAATTAATTGGTTGTAAAATACAAGTTTTTATGTAATTAGTAATAAAACAGATAGTATTAGTTACCTCACAAGTTAAAGACAAGTACTATGGACGTTTCGACCCAAGGTCTTCGTCAGCACACAACAGTGTGATTACAGATTAGACAAATAAAGACAAACAGTAACACATTTTTTGACTTAGCTCGACAGTGAAAACACGTCTTGTCTGCTAGCCACGATATCCAAAAGAAAAGACGCGTGAGAAGGACGCTTGGACACCGTATAGGGGTGGGGTTGGGGGCGTGGTGTATGCGGGAGGGGGGGGGGGGTTGTTAGGTGAAAGATATCTGTTCATATCTTTCACCTAACAACCCCCCCCCCCCCCTCCCGCATACACCACGCCCCCACCCCTATACGGTGTCCAAGCGTCCTTCTCACGCGTCTTTTCTTTTGGATATCGTGGCTAGCAGACAAGACGTGTTTTCACTGTCGAGCTAAGTCAAAAAATGTGTTACTGTTTGTCTTTATTTGTCTAATCTGTAATCACACTGTTGTGTGCTGACGAAGACCTTGGGTCGAAACGTCCATGGTACTTGTAACTGTCTTTAACTTGTGAGGTAACTAATACTATCTGTTTTATTACTAATTACATTAACCTCACTGCAGCTACCATTTGTTTTTTTAAGTTTTTATGTATTTTAATGTACTTATGTCTAAAATGTCTATATATATATATATAAACTATAATTTTAGTTACCCATGTATCATTAAAATAATAGTTATGGTATAAAAATATACAAATGCCACAATAGATTTTTATAATACTTATATAAACCCATCATGTCATCTTGTATTCGAATACAGTGAAGCAGGGTTGTATTTAGGGATAAGGTTAAAATGTTTTGTATAATTTTTTTCCCGTTCGTGTCCAAGACACTGGCAGATGAAGTAAAATTTACCTGTTTCACTGGCATCGGCATACGAATGATAGTATGGTCAGTACTATTGTCCTAGTTTGAGTTAGGTATCCATCAGAGCTGGGTGGACTCTTAGTCATTCTACTGACTTAAACCCTGCTTCGTACTCGAGGTTAGCAGTCTAGCTCTCGACCGCTAGGCCACACCGTCCCATAAAATGTTTATATGGTCACTGGCAACTGGGTTGCAAACACCTGTGCACATTTTGAAAGGAGTAATTTGTAAACTGGCTTCTAGAAATATGCTACTTGTTGTTGATTGTGGAGGTATTGTGATTCATACTCTGGTTACACAGTTTAAATATGACATTCTACTAAAGGCATTTTGGTAACAAAATTATCAAACTATTGAGATAGGAAAATTTACAGCTCAGAGAGTAGCATAGTTCTTACATAAAATTAAAATAACTTTTTTGTTTTTCAATTTCTGGCAGGTGCTTTTTATTTTCTTTGCCAAAATATAAAATACAATATTTTCAACATGTGACTGTATGTAACTCCGCTCATTGTGATGCTATTAAAACAGAATAATAAAACTGAAGCAGTTGTTTGTTGTCAATACAAAATAGCAACAAAATACTAATAATTAATAATGAAAATAAATTTATTACTTCTGAATATTGTTTATTTAACTACATGTCATTATATTGCACAAGCCAACACCTGGTAAGAATTTGGAACAGTTTTACTTAAATTTTAAGTTAAATATTTTTTAGGTTACAACACAGAAATTTAGAATGGTTGTGTAGGCTCCCGGAAAAATGCGGGGAAAAAATTAGCAACTAGAAAAGTATGCAAAGAGAAAAATGTGCAAACATAGGGGTAAGTCTGGTAAGTTTAAGTCTGTAGGATATAGGTGGTAAGTTTAAGATTAGGGTTAGAGCTACCATTAATATTAATGGGCATTGAATCTGGAGGCAGTCCATTAGTAACATCTCAGTTTAGGATTGGATGTTATCAATTTTGTGACAAGGAGTGGCTCACAGAAAAGGACGCGTAATAAGAACGGTTGAGGAGATAGAAGTTACCCCCCTCCCCCACACCTTTCGCTACTGTCACTACTGTCAGATTTAGTACTCATGTGATAAAACCACACTTACCCTGTGGGTCTAGGACTTCACCACCAGTTAATTATCCCCTCCCCCCCCCCGTCATTACCCCTTCCATTAACCAATCTCTCAAATACTTATAGCAATAATACATAATGGATTTGGTAAAGTAAAATACCAGGCATCTTATATAAAAGTGCGGACAGAGTATGTGAATAAATTGTTCTTATGTTTACTAGCAGTCTATTAACTACAAAACAGGGCAACCAAAAAAGTATGGATTAAGTTTATTCCCTCCATGTAGCTTTCAGATTAAAAAATATGTATAGACCTAAACATTTTTCTTTTATATATTTGAAGCCAAACTTTTATATAGTAGCAATTTACAATTTGTATGTATTAGCCATTCCCACTCATTGTAATCACAAATACTGCTACTAACAATTTTAACGCTAATGTTTCAGTTAAAATATATAGTGAAGATAAGGTTTAGAATTGTTATCGGCGATGCAAGGTACCATATAGCATATCTTTATTTACTTTTAGATAAAGCTAAATTAAATGTAGGTAAAATAAGGATGTGCAACTAAATACCAACTTCAATTTGAATGTGTATTGATATTTTACTAAAAAGTGATTGAAACGTCATGACACATTTACTCAAGAAGTTCTTGTACAAAATACCATAGTGTACATTACATTACCATATTTAACAGTTTTAAATTATATCAATAGAATTAGCTAGTACAGCACAGATCATCCAATAAAATCAGTGCAGTGGCTAGTTTTAATGTATATAGAAGTGAAAAGGAATGGTCAGTTTTAAAAACATGTATCAACTATTTGTGGATTTTCTTTTTTTATCTAAAAAATGATCAAACTAAAAATATGGCCAAATGAGGAAACACAGGGATGTGACTTTTCCGAATTTTAGCGGAAATCCGATTTTTCCGTTTCAGCTGCAATTTTCCTCCGCTGATTTAATTTTTGCCGAATTTTTCCGCCGATCTTCGATTTTTGCCGAAGTTTTAAAAAATTAGGAAAAAAACAACGAAAATGACATCTACGGAAACGGCCGACTTGCGCATTCCATATATTAGTATTTAAATCGAGAATTACAGTACTTAGGTCAAATATGCACATTTCTTTTTAATTAGACGATTGCGCTAGGTCTGACGGTGCTAGATTAACATGAAATATTGATCTAGGTCAAGATTCAGAATTTCAGTATTTTTCAGAACGCAAATATTTGGTCCAAATTTTCCGCTGATATCAGTTGAATATTTATCAAAAAACGCGGGAAAAGTAATCTAAAATAATGCCTTTCTTCAAATGAAACTCGAATCTCACAATTCTGGTATTCTAGCTATCGATATAGCCTAATTTACCTTTCTGTATTTTAACCCACCCAAATCTACAGTCTCTCTCTGATTTTATTTTATTTAGCTATCTAAAATTTTAAATTAATATTAAAATCCTTGCAAAAGGTGACTATGAAGACTAGACTAAGCCCCCCCCCCCCCCCCCCCTGTAGCAACCGTGGCTCTTGTGACCTCACCTTGACCCCCAAGTACGTGTTTGGTACTGCTTGTGGGGAAAAAAAAATAAAATGACGTCACAGTAATTTCAAATAGATCTAGCTGTTCCTGCAATACCTATGCTATAGGCCTACAGATTAAAAAAAAAAAACTGAACTCAACGTGACTCAGAAGAAAAAAATACGATATGGACTGTTTTTAATAAGGGGTCTTCCATAAATAACGTCACACTCGGGGGGGGGGGTCCGTAATTTTGTAACGTGTAGGCTAATGAGGGGGAGGGGGTCAGATAGTGTGACGTCATTTTTTTATTTTAAAAACGTTATGTTAGAAACTGAATTTTAGCCGCTATTACGCGTTTTAGAAAACCTTTTAAAATTGTAATATAAATTAATTAAAATACCCTATGTTGGTTGAGCTCAGTCAATATTTTAGAAGAAAAAATTCGATGTTTAAAAAAAAATTCAAATTCAATTTTGAGGAGGGGGGGAGTGGTTGTTGGCTAGGTGTGACGTCATTTTAGGGGGGGGGGTCTGTCTTTTGTGATGGAGAGGAGAGGGGAGGTAAAAATCGTAAAAAAAAAACGTGACGTCATTTATGGATGACCTCAAACAATTTACAGCCATTCTAAAAACAAAAATAACCATGTGGTTTGGCTATCGAAATGGTTAACTTTGGTTCACATATCAGACCCTTTCTAATTTCAGCTAATCTGGTCAATTTCATTTTCCTACACCTGAACCCAAAACTTTCAAATTACAATTAATCTGAATCTAGGCATTTTACAGTTGAAGACTAACATTTTTACCATGCCAATCTTTAAAAGAATATAAGGCATAATTTAAAATTGAAAACAAAAGTGTAACTAGACTAGATTAGTACACTTTAAATTAACTAAATGTTGAACTTATTTGCCACTTTTGTTACATTGCAAATGTAATTTTTTTTAAAAAAAGTTGTTTATAAGTTAAACATTAAATTGCAATTAGCCAAGACTTTCAATGTCAATATAGAGTAACATAAACTTCTTTTATTTATAATATTAGCTATATTAAACGATTAATTAGAACAGTAATGGCGTGAGACTACTTTAACTGCGATAAAAAAAATAGATAAAACAAATTGAGTTCTTGGCCAAAGAAAATTTCCTAATTTTTTTTCCTGGTCTGGTCACATCCCTGGAAACAGTATTGCTGCAGTACAATAATAGACCTCTGCTTGGGGATAGAGTGGTCTAGTGGTAGAGAGATAAACTACAAACCTGTAAGTGTCGAGTTCAAATCCGAGTCAAAGTCAGTAGACCATCCATAGGTACCTAATTTACATTAGGGAAATTAAAGACAACTGGGCACACTATCCATTCATATACCGAGGTCACAGAAACAGGTGAACTCTACTTCACTTGTCATATAGACCGTCAGGTTTGGAAGGGGACTTTACTTACTTATTACGCTGGTATCAATATCATTAAGTGATTAAAACTATAATCCATGCAGGAATACAAAATGATTACAGAACAATACAATTATTTACATTCTTTAATAATGGAATTTTACATTCTAAATCAATTTTTTTTAAAAATGAGTACAACTTTTCTTTGTGAGGTTGACTTTCTACAGCTGTAATTATAATCATGTTGTTTGGAAAGAGGGGAGATAACCGTGGTGCAATTCATGGTATGATGAATTATGTCAGCAAACATGCAGACTATCTAGATTTTTTATTATTCAAATTTTTTCAAAGACTTAGTTTTTATAGTGAGGTAGGTTTTACAATACAGAAAAAGTGTGACGTGGACCTTACAATGTAATACAAAAGTTAATAATGTGGGGAAATTTTACACTGTAATTAGTTCAGTACTGAAAATAAATTATAATACTTAAAGTATAAAAAATGTGAATTTACAATGTACCAGGTAATACAAAACGCAAACAAAGTGGGGAACATCTTATACAGTAAAACAGAAAGTAAAAAAAATATGAGATAGATTTTACTATGTAACACAGATAGTGTGAAAACTGAGATAAATTTTACTTTTACAATTTAATGGAAGCTGTTAAATCATATTCAGTAGAAAAGCACACAAAATACATTTTCAATGTCTCCAAATTTTTCGGCAAATGTTTGATCTCTGATGCATATCTGGATAGAGTCTCCCATATTAAAGTCTCGTCCAAGATGACTATCTAAGAAAGCTTGACCAGTAGCTGTAGGACCTCGAATGAAAGAAACATTTTCCAAGGGTACTGAAGGATATAATTCAATCTCACAGCCACTCCTAAAATACTTTACGACACTATTCCATTGATCATACTCAGTTAAATCTAGTCCATGTTGTTTTTCAGCATCCACAAAGTCTCGTCTCACTTTATAAACTAAAACAGCATAACTGTCCCCACGCCCAGCACTTCCCCATCTCTTGGCATCCTCCAGGTCTTCAGACAAGTAAAACCCTTTCCAGCTGGAGAAATCTTGTTTAGCACTACCAGAGCCCAATATAATTCCATTTCTGATCAAGTCTATACAACTCTCATAGGTAGTTCCATGATAAAGGTGAACATAGTCATCTGAATCAAGAAGTAATGGAAGAACTTTTTCTTTTTCAGAGTCCACTGTTGTCAAATTGATCATTTTTACCATCTTACAGCTGTTGTCGTCATCATCATGGTCACAATACTGATCAAACCATTCGTTTATTTTATCAGATTGGAATAGGAACTTTGGTACACACAACAGAAGACTGTCATAGTAAAATGAGTAGTGCAAGTACCGCAATGCCCAGAACAAAGGTGAGTGCAGGTGGCACAAGTCTTCATGCACCAAGCCGCCGATGTATTTTGATCTTTCTTCAGTGTAACCTATTTTACTCAAACTGAGTGCTAGATCTTGATGCTCATTAAATGTCTTTAAAAATTTTAAATGTTTGTTCTCAAGAAATTTTCCAATCCAAACTTTGTAGGAGAAGTGATATTTAAATAAATCATCCAATGCCTTGAAACGATCACGCACCTTCGGAACTATTCCAAGGAAGTTGCACATAACATGTACGTAGTTCTCAAAAGAAATGTAACTCTCACTGAATTTTACAATAGACTTGTGTAGGTCAACAGACGGAGAATCAGTTTGTGGCACCAGATCCAGTTTGGGTTGAAGTAGAAGATCCCTGAACAAAACTTCAAGATCCTTATACATACTGCATGGTTCTTGTTCTGTTTCATACACAGGCTAGAAGCAAAGGGGTAAAACATAAGTTAAACAATACCACAGGTAAAAAGAGTTACAACTTTTATGAAAATCAATACAAATTGTATGTGTTTGTCTTGTATGATTCCTCCAACATTTTACAGATTAAGTACAAAGAAGTGACAATAATACAAATTAAATAAAGTTACTCTTGTTAAGCTAATGTTACGCGCAGTTAATAAAAACAGGTAACTTAGATTCAGACCCACCTTGTTCAAACAATACAAAAGGAAAATCAGTCTTTCTTTTAACAAGAGAATTGTTTGACGTGCATCTGCTGTCATAATGTGGAAACTGGTACAGAACAACATTCCAGCTGCTAATTAGCTTCTCCACTGATCCTCGTTTAAATGTTATCTTGAGTCAGAAAATATTTAAACATACATATACGAGACAAAACTTGCCACATTTTTTTTTTTTTTGACAAGAAGGAAACTAGGGCCAGATTCCAATTGTAAACCTAAAAAAGTAAGTAAAGTTCCCTTTTCAAACCTGACTGTCGCTTTATGGGGCAAGTGAAGTAGAGTTCATTTCTGTGACCTCGGAATATGAAGAGATAGGTGTGGTCAGCACTATGCCCAGCCGCCTTTACTTTCCCTAACGTGAGTTAGGTAGAGTTGGGTCTACTGACTTGAACCCGGATTTGAACTCGAGACTTACGGTTAGCAGTCCAGCCCTCTACCGCTAGACCACTCTGTCCCCTATTGTGAACCTATCTCTCTACATATATTCTAGTTTTAATGCTATCCAAGAAGTAAAAAAACTGTTTAAGACATTAACAGACATTATATGTTATAATTTTAGTTCTGAAAATATTTTATTTAATTTAAGATTGCAGTAGAAAATAAATTCAAGCTTTATAATATTCTACACTAAACATATTGATGTTTAGTATTGACTATGAAGAGAAGAAAAATATTATTAAAGCACTAACCAAATGTTTGCCCAATTGATCAGATGGATGAGGTTTTGTCTTTCTTGACTGCCAACTATGAAGATTAAAAAAAAACAAAGTTAAATACAAAACTCAAATTACAGCAATCACAAAAAACATGTGTGCAATTGAGGTGTCAGTAAAGTGGCGTCAAGCTACACCTTTATTTATATAATTCCCTTAATAGCTTGCACAAGAATATCTGTTGTTTTATTAATATGGGTGGGACTATGCAGCAAACAGGGTTCCACCTGTCCTCATCTACCTCTGCATACCACTGCCTGTGCACTAGGGGCCTTTCATAGATTTTAAAATATTTTCTACAGCCGATAAGAAAGATGGTTTCCCATTTTCTTTTTAAAATTATTTATATAAAACAAATATTAAAATTCCAATGTAAAATTTGTAATTTTTCAAAGCGGGAAAAGGGTCCCTATGTTTAGTAGGCCGTTGTGTCTCATTTATGCTAGCTTTAAGGTAGCTACTCTGCTGGTCTAAAGATCAAGTATGCAACTTTATTAAGCTGGTGTCACACTATATTAAGCTAGTGTCACACTTTATTAAGCTAGTGCCACACTTTAATAGTGTCAAACTAAGTTTTCTTTAATGTAAACCAATAGGTTTTAACATCTCTGTTTGTTCATGTTATTAAGAAATTATTAATTGTTATTAGGTGAGTAACTTATACATCTTAGTTTATTGTTTAAACAGTTTATAGTTTTACCAGACAATGGGCAGCACAAAAGATAAAAATGTCAGCGCTACCCCCAAAAATGTCATTATCAACTCTCTACCAGTCATCCAGATAAAAAATGCAATACCTAAAAAATTTCCGATCTGCAGAAAATGTTCCTGATCTCTTCTCTTTTCTGTAAAATTCAGCTCCACTAGATTTATCAGATCTCTTTCTTTTCTTCTATAACACAAGAAAACAAGTTAATTAAAAAAGTCTAGTGACATTTGTGCGCAATTTCCTTATGTTATCTAAAAATAGCTCTGACGTATAATGTTGGGGTGCGTTCAAGCTAGAAGAACGATCGGTTTGTAGGTGTTTATGTAATTTTAAAATTTGTGACCGAACGAGAGGATATTTTTGAAAACTTTCTTCGGCAATATTGTTCTAAATTATGACAGGAATCGATTGGTACATGTTTCAAGTCGCTAAGTGGTCTGGTTGCCGAGATATGGGCCAAAAACTGATTTTTTTCAAGGTTTTTTGGCTTTTCCGGGAAATACATGAAAGAAACCCGGAATTTTTATGGCCTATGCTCATTCTCGTAACTTGCTTAACATAATTGCTTTTGGAACTAGTCATCAATATTGCTTCGTTGAGGAGGAGATACGACTTAAAGCCCGGACACACATTCATCCATACATTCATTCATTCATTCATCCATCCATTCCCAGAAATGACGAGTTAATAAACGCAATTCTCCAGAATGGAAATTGCGCTAAAAATGAACACTCAATGCATGATCAAGACATGATACACATTTTCTTCTAGGCATTTCTCCAGGAAGGGCAATGCTTTACCTTTCACCCCCCCCCCCCCCCCCCAGCTTATTCAAATGTTAATTTATGCAAAAAGTCAACCCGCAGGTGAATTATCTAAATGATGCCACCCTCCCCCATGGAGAAAAAGAAACACTGACTTGATAGGTCTCCCAATTAGCAGGCTAGGCTATTATGATATGTATGGAATTTTAACATTTATCATTGCACTTTCAAAACAGAGCAATAGCAAATATCACAAATGTTGGATTAGGAATTAGCTAGTTAAGCTAGGCCTACAAATTAAGATTATGTAACTCAAATTATGACATAAGGTCCCTATCCCTTTGGGTTGCTCTATTATTACTATTAACTCTATACATACTACATACTCTATAGGCTAATAATCTATTTAGTATTTTTTTTTACTATTTAGGGGGGGGCCTAACTTAGGGTAACTAAATTACTTAACTAAGTCATGAACAGTGTGTTGAGTTTTAATTTAAGTGCTCATTACTAATTTTAAAAAACAAAAAAAAGTATGATAAAGCTGGCTAATAGACTAGATCTAGATCTTGATCTGACTCTATTACTAGTAGATCTATAAATCAATAATATAGAGTCTCTATCAGAGGCGTAGCTAGGGGAGGGCGGGGAGGGCGGCCGCCCCGGGCGCCGACCCTAGGGGGGCGCCAAAAAGGGTAGAATTTTTTTTTTAAAAGCTCATTTTAAGCTGCAGTTTTTAATTATAAACAGTCAAAGTAAAGAAAGTTAACGGCTGAGAGCCTTTGCATACTGATTTAACTGTTTTCTACCTTGATTGTGTAAATATAAAACATTTATGCTTAAGAAACAGTGACCGGAAAAACCGCTTTCCAGTTTTCCTAGATAGGTAAGGGGGGGGGGGCGCTTTTTCGAAGACTAAAATCGGAAAAATTCACACCGGATTAAGGAATAAATAACCGACATCACTCAGAAAAGAAACCCATCGAGCTAAAGCGTATTTTACGATTGTGTTACATAAAAAAAGAGTTGACAAAATCCGATCGTGAATCATGTGAGTCGGCTGTGTCTTGACCTACGCGGAAGCCCTGAGACTGAATTACCGAACCTCTCGGGTTCGATGGAACTCACTGTTCTAAGCTCTTTTGATTTTCTTCTTTTTATTTGATTCGGCTTTATAAGGAACATAGGCGTAGGCAACACTTCGTCAACTCATTTTTATGAAGATCGAACCCTAATAATCCAGCCTCACCCTTCTCTATTTCAAAGGATTTCCTTGAGAACTTATTTAGTCTTTTTTTCTTCCACTTTCCCCATGGACTTCACACAAGCACCTGCATAATGATGTTATTTTTTGTCTTCCTCATATTGTGTCCTAACCACCACCTTTTCATTCTCCACTGTCTTTAACCCAGCCCCGAGCCATACAGTAAAAGAGAAATCATATTCAGCTATAGATCCTGATTGAATTTTTTTGACAATGCAGTTGAATTCCACATCGACTTAGAATGTTGACACGCATTTTATCGCTGCTGATTCTAATCTGAACGTCATGGGCGTCAGCTACTATCATTAAACCGGTTATTACTGCTTCTTCAACAAGTACAATTAGTTCTGCATTTGTTGTTGACTGTGTGCGAGAAGGCAGCGCACATCTGATAAATCCAAGACTTCGAGCTGTTGTGTCCATTAGATTCCAGTTTGTTTCCTCTAGCTTGTTTCATTATACAATCAACCAGTCAACGAAATACCCATATCGTATTCCAATGTGAACAATAATTTTCTATTGTATGTCAATTGTATGACCTTAATCTAACAAACTTATAATCCAAATATGTACTATATCATAACAGAGACTGTTCCAAGTAAAGTCGAGTAAAGTTTTAGGGAACGAAAATCATACAGCGTAATTATTTTTTTTTCAGACTGCCGCACATACACACACACAAACATACACACACAAAGATACACAAACAAAAATACACACACATTATATATATATATATAAATATAAATATATATATATATATATATATATATATATATATATATATATATATATATATATATATATATATATATATATATATAGGGCCTATATGGGGGGGGGGCGCCAAACTGAAAGTTTGCCCCGGGCGCAGGGAGGGGTCGCTACGCCTCTGGTCTCTATAGGCATAGGGCCTAGCTAGAGTCTCTATAAATAATATGTAGGCCTATGCCTAATTAGTAATAATATAGGCCTACTAAAAATCCAGATTTTTAAAATACATTTAGAAATGGCCATGGATATTCCCAGCCGGTTGGGAATAGCCGTATTGGGGCTATTCCCAGCCGACTGTGAATAGCCCCAATACGGCTATTCACAGTCGGCTGTCATTTCATACTAAACTGAATAATATCTTAAAATAATATAAGCATTTATTGTGACTGGGGAATCATCGGAATGAGGTATAGATTAAGAGAGCAGTGCTATTTTTATTTTGTTATATCTTTATAAAAAAGTTATTACCATTAAAGTTTAGTTTAACTTTTATTTAGGCTCATATCATACATATCTGCTACAGGCTACGTAGGTCAAGGATGATTAGATGATCAATTTTACACTTTAAATCTATACACTAGAATAATAGATCTAGTAATTTTTAAATGAATAATACTAATTAATCATCAGTTTATTTGGTTGTTCACATTGCTATTCAACTATCAATTACCATTAAAAATTCACATAATCACATAGATCTAGAATAAATATCAGGTGAAATAGGATGTCCTTTTTCATCAGCTATTTTCCATCACAGTTTCCATCACACTTTTGTTTTTTCTCTTAGCAAGAATCTACGGGACAGGTCTTTTTTTTTGCTGATATGCCAACAATTACGTCAGAAACGAAAAAAAAATTAACAAAAATAACCCTCCCATGAGTAACTCAAGTAGAATCTAGACCTAATTGTAAAAAAATATTTTGATAATAATAATATGAGGCATACATTAAGCGTCAGACCAATTGGAATCTGATGGATTTGAACCCCCCACCTTCTGGCATGACAGCCTCTCCCTATGACCACTCGACCACACATCTTCATGCCTAATTGGATATTTTTAACATTAAATCTATCAAAAACGGTCACGACTGTGAATAGCCCCAATACGGCTATTCACAGCCGGCTGTGAATAGACACTTCGTTTAGAAATAGAATTTAGAATTTAGGCCTATGCTTTACTTTAATTACTTTAATCTACCAAAACTATATTAATTAGGCCTAGCAAAGGCCAATTTAAAAGTAGACTTAATAAAATTAATTTACCAGAGCAGTCATTTTGATTTTAGATATCGTTTGTAGCTAGATTTGCAGCTAGAAGGCTCCACAAACTTTTTTTTCAACTCTCCGGATCTAAAGTAGAGTAGCACATAAAACAGCGCATATGCTAAGCCCTAGGTTACCACTCATTGCTTTATTCAACGCAACTAAAAAAAAAAAAAAACTGGCTTTGAAATCATGGGACTTTTAATTTGCCAGAGTGGCTTTATTTAAACCAAATTTATTTATTTTTAATCTTATAAAATATTTATCTTATTTAAATAGAACCACGTTATTTCAATTAAATTAAACACTAAAAAATAATAGTTTAGTAAAGACGTGCATGTATTTTCAAATTGATCAAAGTTTTTTTTATTGAAAATTGCTGTGTTGCTGAATCCCGTTAGTATTTTATGTTGTGGTAAACTATAGGAGGCCTAATTAAATTTTCAATTTTTAACACTAAGTTATTTGTGCATGCATTTGAGCTACTTTTTATAGAGATGAAACAGGAAAATAATTTAAATTAGTATTTAGTCTCTCTCGAGAGATTACTGGATCAACCTGGCATATTAAAAGTTGATTTCTTCGAAATGATGAAATTGGCAGAAACGCCCCAGAAAACCTTCTATCGTGGAATCATTGGAAAAGTTCAGATTTATAGATGTGTATATTATACGGGTAGAGAAAGATGCGGTGGAGGTTCGTGGGGGGGGGGGGGTATGGAGAGAAGGCACCAAACCGGTTAGAAAAAATGTAACAGGCCTTTAAATCGCTTTTTTTTTCAGACTATTTTCCCATGAAACTTGAAACTTCCAGAGGTGGTGCAAGGGTAGGTGGGGCACTTAAAATTTCGAGGGGGGGGGGGGGGGGTAAGGCTGCACTGGTTAAGCAGGCCAAAATATTTTCTCCACGCCACTCCGATGTGAGTCTAGCGGTACCGCCCCCCCCCCCCCCCCCCTAACCCCGAACGAAATGGAATTTATATAGAAAATATATGCTTTTAACAGTGTCCGCCTGCTTCCCCCCGGAAATTTCAATCCCCCCAGTGTTTCTTCCAGACTTTTTTCTCCGGGGGTGCACTTGAAAATTTCGGGGGGGGGGGGCGGACAACAATTTCCGGGGGGCGGACACTGTCAAAAGTACATATTTTCTAAATAAATTCCAATTCGTTTGGGGGGGCACCGCCCCCCGAAGAGATGCCTGGAAGAAACTCTGCCCCCCCCCCCCCCCTCGTCCCCCCGTCCCCCCCCCCTTCCCCGGAGAAAAAAACACTGGTTTGAACTCGGGATGTTGGGATTAAGCAATCACACGCTCTCCGGCCCAACCACACCGTCCCCGCTGTGCAGTCGATTGTGGAGTGTGGAGCAGGGGACGATTGACTTTGATCGTAGTTTAAATTTAATAATGCCTCGCACATTCTTTAAAGGTTAAGCCCATTTAGATGTTTAGAAACAAAAGCAAGCAACGGAAGGGCTGTAACTAGTAAATCTGCGCATGCGCGCTATATAAAGATTTTAAATCGCAAAAACAAGCGCTGTTTCACAGTGTGGTGCAACCTCATCGTTTGATAGTCAGCTACAGGCCTTTTTTTGTGAGCAGTGAGCGATTTTTTTCCATGGCCGAATCTAAAATGTAAGTAGGCTAATCAATAGTTTTTTCTTTTCGATATGACGGTTTAGAAATAATAAATTTTAATATTGTTCCGATAGTCTAGAACTATTCGCCGATTAAATATGACCGAAAAAATTCCGGCAATAACAAAGAAAATGCTAAAAAAATAATCTAACTGGTTTTAAAAGGAAATAAAATTATTAGATAAGTGAAAATGTGTGTATTTTGAGGCTTGGGGATCTGGAAAATGAGTAATAGCTTTAGTGATTATGTAATGTCCTTGCAGGCTTTCTTTGTTTGAGAAATTAGTGACGTCTTTTAAGGTTATTTGTTTTATGAAGAAAACAAAATTGCGTGTTTTATGTATAATATGACAGGCTTGGACGTAGTGCAATGCCTTTACATGCTATACGGAGAAAATAAAAGGATAACATCAGTAGGCCTAATTAATGTCCCAAAAAAACCATTTCTACATTTTACATAAATCTGAACTGATTCCGGTGGTCGAGTGGTTACGCTCTGGCAGTTTGATATGCGGTGTGTGTTCGAATCTCTTGCGAATTGTACTTTTAAAAATTTATTTGTAAGTGATTTGTGAACCGCTTTTTAAAACATCATACGCCATTTTTTTTTTTTTTACTTTTCAAATATTAAAGCTATTAATTCTAAATGAGCGTCTTTTCCAACCTAAAAACTAATTGATTTAAGTGGAGTGTAAAGAAAGAGTCCTGTTGATTGCATAGTATCTCAGCGCGCCTATATCTCTAACCCCCCCCCCCCCCCGAAGTAGGTCTATAATCAAGCCATATTAATAATTATCGTCAGACGTACCTAACAACAAGCCTATTGTGGCGTTCCTAAGATGCGAGAAACGCGTTGTTCACGTGGTGGTCTCGCTTCTCTCCAGATATCGCTTGTTAGGTAACCATCTGCTAAACTGCTGTAACGCCTACGACAATTTTCACCGCGCTAGAATCTGATTTGACGTACCAAATATCATTTGAGCTAGGCCAGGGTTTTTCAAATATCGTTCAATGGGGAGTGTTATTTTATTCATAATGCACTTCTACATCTTTCAATAATCATAAATTTGACGAGAGTGACGTAGTTTTTTTTAGTTATTAGCTTCATACTGTTGAGCCGGTTACTGGACGGTGAAGTATGAGTTCAGTGTGCTGGAAGATAAGCCTATGAGAACAGAAAGACAGAAGCGACCAATACAGCAATCAAACCCAGTGGCGTAGCGAGGTCGGATGTCACCTGGTGCGGCACCTAATGGTGTCCCCCCCCCCCCCCCCGTAAGAAAATATATATATATATATATATATATATATATATATATATATATATATATAATATTCCATATGCGCTTGTAAGTATGTGTATACGCATGTGTATATGTATTCAATTTTTTTTTCTGCTGGATGTATTTAATTTTTTTACCCCCAATCCCATCCATGGATTAACATATAGGTTAATACGATTCTCAGTCAAACCGTTTTTCTCAGGCACATGTATTGCAACGTTGAATGCTCACATAATCATAATACTTACGCTTTTTACCTATATTGGTTATAAATTCAGCTGGATGTTGCCTGTTTTTTTTATCATTAGCAGATTTACGTCATGGTGTAAACCCCCCCCCCCCCCCTCTCCAACCGTGTCGGGATTTGTCCACTCTGCTCTTTAAAGACTATTTAATTCACTTTAATTAATCATTTAACGAAGTGAAATTATCATTTTTTTTATTTTGCTATTTTTTGCCTTGGTGTCACCCCCCCCCCCCCCCTAAAAGGTGTTACCCGGTGCGATCCGCATACCCTCCCCCCCCCCCTCGCTACGCCTCTGACAAACCGATACCTAAGCCGATTTCTCACGTAGATGTAGGCCTACAAATCTCGTTGCCATCGAGATCTTCGTTTTTACGCTGAAACAAAGGCCACATGCATAGTTCGGGTGCCTAACGGCCGCAAATTTAGGACTATACACGGTTAACGGAAATATAAGGGAATATTATCAAAATGCCTTATATAAAATGTTATATGCAGTTAATGTATCTTTACACATCTTTGCTTTGGAAAAAGCAATTAAGCTAAATTGTTTTTAAAATAATCTGTAAATCTGGCAGAAGTTTTATATCAAGGCGATTCTTAATGATTTTTTTTTTATAGCTGTCTTTCTTACTCTAAACCTCAACCATTGACAAGTAGATTTAACATTCTTTTTTAATAGGAATGAAGAAAAGTGTTTACAACCTAAACTTCATAAATTGGAGACGACTTGGGTAACCTTTTAATGCTAAATCTGCATTAGAAATTACATATTTACTTTTATCAGATTGTATACCATAATCGTGGCATTTATAATAATTATTTCATTGTGAGAAGTCTACTTTTTTAAACATATTTTTAATATGTTTATTTCTTAGTAAGGAAGTTTAAAAATGTAAAATCCTTCTGTACATTAACTTTAACGTTTTTACCTGGACATTAAGTTGCTTTACGTTTTATTCTGTCCATAAAGCTCGATCAAGAATATGTTACAGAGCAATTAAAAAACTGGAATGTGTTGCTGTACCAACTCCCCCCACACCACGAAGCTGTGAACAGAATCAACGCGTTGAAAGAAAAACTCACTTTACTTCTGTACTGCTTAAACAAGGTGAGACTAACTTTACTGGGCCGTGTGAAATATCAAAAGTAAAACCTTTCAACCCTTGCGGTCCGCGGGGCAGGTGAAGTAGAGTTCACCTGTATCAGTGACCTCGGCATATGAACTTGTAGCTTTTTCCGGAGTTTAACCAGCCGACTTGACACCTCTTAAAGTGAGTCATTTAGAGAATAGGGCTGGTAAGTAGGTCACCAACCAGTCCTATGGCTCATGCAGGTTTTATTGAGCCGTAGAACTGGTTTGTGACCTACTTACCAGCCCTATTGGGTAGACTCCAAAACATCACGAACTGACACCCGTGGAACTCGAGACTTTAGGGTTAGCAGACATACAATCTACCAACCGACCACACCGTCCCGTCGTTATCTTGTAGTTGGCGAAATTTCTTTAAATTTAAAAAATTTCTTGTAATCTTTACCTTGTAAAACATGATTGATGGTATTATTTGATATTTCAGTCTATTCATCAAGGGAAACAAGACCCGTATGGGTTTTCTAAAGAACTAAATATGGTCTTTGACGAACTACTACTAGAACCCAAACTGGACATTTTGCCACAAGTGAAATACCCATCACTCGACCTACATGAGTCTGTTAAAGAATTCTGTGATAATTACATTTCATTTGAGAACACCATTCATGTGATGTGTGATTATCTAGGAATATCTCCAAAAATACGAGACTCTTACAAACAAATAGATGCTCCGTTTCAGTACCATTTTTGCTATGAACGCTGGATTCAAAAGTATTTTGAGAACTACCATTACGAGTTCGATTTTAATGAGCAGGAAACAGTGGTAACAGTTTTAACTAATTTAGGATATACAGAAGAAAAGGCTGAATATATAGTCAGCTTGATAGATAAGGACACGATATATTTGCAGTCACCCCTGTTTTGGGCGTACAGGTACTTGGACTACTCATTTTACTATATGTATCTGCTGATAAATGCTCCTAAATTCGTTTTCCAATCTGAGAAAGTCAATGAATGGTTTGAGCAGTATTGTGACTATGATGAAGATGATAACGTATGTAAGCTGGTGAAGATGATTAATTTGACAAGTGACGAGGCTGAGAAGGAAAAAGTTCTTCCTTCATTTGTTGACTGTGAGGATTTTGTTCACCTTTATCATGGCACCACTTACCAGAGTTGTCGGAACTTGATCAGAAAAGGAATTCGATTGGGCAGAGGATCGGAGTACCAAGATTTGTCCAGCTTGGATGGCTTCTACTTGTCTGAAGATCTGGAGGATGCCAAGAGATGGGGAAGTGCTGGGCGTGGAGACAGTTATGCTGTTTTAGTTTATAAAGTGAGACGAGACTTTATGGATGCTGAAAAACAACATGGACTGAATTTAACAGACTACGCTCAATGGAGTAGTGTTGTTAAATTTTGTAGAAGCGACTATCGACTTCACTTAGTTCCTCCTAAGGAATTAGAAAATGTTTCTTTCGTTCGTGGTCCTACAGCTGCTGGTCAAGCTTACTTAGATGTCCAACTTGGTCGAGACTTTACAATGGGAGACTCTATCCAGATTTGCATCAAAGATCAAACGTTTGCCGAACAGTTTGGTGACATTGGAAATATTTGTTGTGCTCTTTTCTACTAAACAAGAAGCAATGTGTTTTTTAGGGGTCGTTTTGCCTTTTAAAACTTATAAAAATCCCATGGTTAAAGTATTGTACTAAATCAATGATATTACTAAAGCAGGTATTAAGCAGCAGAATATTCTAATTTTTGTTTTTAAAAATTGTAAAACTAAATTGTATTAAAAAGAATTATAGATTTTTTTTAAATTGTTTAATTATGTAACATGGTACAATATTTGGTTAATTTTTTATAGCATTATTAAATACTTATGTCTTAGTCAAATCTTCAGGTTAATCACTGTTTCATTCATTCCTTCAATGCCCATCACTTTTGTTAGGGTATGGGCATGCAGCCAAATATCTCCAGAGTCTTCTGTCCTGCTGGGGTATGGGCCGCCAACCAAATATCTCCAGAGTCCTCTGTCCTGCTGGGGTATGGGCCGCCAACATAAGATCTCCAGAGTCCTCTGTGCTGTGTCATGTACTAAACCTGACCCCAGATGTAGCCCATATTTGGACGACTATTTTGCACTATCCTCGATATTCCCAACTAAATGCCTACCTTGGGCGGTTGCTTGACTTAGTCCTTTTTGCTCCTTATGGAACATAGGGCCTCCACCATTTCCTTCCATTTCTTCCAATCCCCGGCTATAAATTTTGTCATCTCCCAAGACATCCCTGTTGGCTTCAGTTCTTCAAGAAGACTCCGCCTCCAGGTCTGTCTTGGGCGCCCTCTTTTCCGCTTTCCCTGGGGGTTCCACTCAAGCGCTTGGCGTGTAACATTTGGGTGAGCCTTTTGAACGCTGGTCTTCTAACCCGCTCGGAGTAGTTATGTTTCCACGAGCTTTCCTGCCCAACTACGCTATCGTTACAGCGACTAAAGTGTATTAAAAGTGTGTAGAATGTTTTAGTTAATTATTGCGATGTTATATTTTTAAAATCTAGTTGTTGAAATTCTTGTAGAATATATGGAACGAGCCGACCCGCGGCGTATCATACGCCGCTATTTAGTTGTTGTTTTTTTCTACTTTTCAGTAATTCATAATTTGTGAATTCGACAGTACTAATGCTGCCACTGAAAATATATTTGCTTTAAAACACTAAAACCCTCCTTCCCCCCCCCCCCCAACCCCCCCCCCCCCCCTCGTGAAAGCAGCCTCCTCTAAGTTACCTCCCCTAAGTTTAAAATCGTTTCAAACTAAATTATCTGCCCCTAATTGCCGTCACTAAAACCGTCTCTACGCTTGTAAACATTTAGCGTGAACCACAGCTCACCAGACCATGGGGGGGGGGGGGGGAATAGAGATTTGTCTAGAGAGGAAGAGAGGGGACTGCTAGGCGCGCTTACAGCTTGTTTTCTAGCGTCTCCAAGAAGAGAATTATATATATATATATATATATATATATATATATATATATATATATATATATATATATATATATATATATATATTTATTTATTTATATTTATATATTTATATATTTATATATTTATATATTTATATATTATATATTTATATATTTATATATTTATATATTTATATATATATTTATATATATATATATATATATATATATATATATATATATATATATATATATATAATACGTCGATGGAATCCTAGCGGCAGGAGCCTAGAACAATATGGTGCCTAATTAATTTTAAAGTTACGGAAACATCTAATCTTCAAATAGATAATTTTGTCGTTGGATTTAATACAAAGCTCGATGAAAAGGGTTACATATGGTTAAAGTTTAAGAATCTTATAATTAAAATCTGGTACTAAATTAAGGAGGTGCCCACAGTGTAAGCGTTTTAAAAGTGTAGTATACTGTTTCAAGGCAGAATCGCTAGGTCTAAAGAGGATCTTTATACTTTTTTTTATCTACAAAGTTGTTACGTGTTACGTACAAATAAATTTAACACAATGTTTATTATCTAATATAAAAGTGAAGTAAAATTCCTCTTCCAAACCCGTTGTTCTACGGGGCAAAGGAAGTAGAGTTCACCTGTTTCTGTGACCTCGGCATATGAAGGGATAGTGTGGTCAGCACTATGTCCAGCCGCCTTTACTTTCCTTAACGTGAGTTTGGTTGTGATCTGGGTGGGCGAGCGACAGACTTGAACCCGGATTCGAACTCGAGACCCATTTTAGCAGTCCAGCTCTCTACCGCTAGGCCACTCCGTCCCATTTTAACTATTGTAGTAAAAAATAATTTAATTATAATAGGTTTTTCTAGACTTGAAACGGAACAATACGCTGAGATATGAGATATCGAAGCGTTCTCTTTGAATGATTTATAAATGTCAAATATTTGATACAGCTTTTAATTTATGCAGTGTAGAGTTAGGCGACATAAACATAATTAGTTTTGAATTTATTAATATTAGTTATATTAATTAAATAGTTCTAGTTTAGTTTTAATGAAAATTGCAATTCTGGTTTTAAAAAATAAAGATAGAACGAATACAGATTATTAATTTGCTTACACACAGTTTTTAATAGATAAGATAGAACACCGTCCAGAGAAAGAGACCTTGGGTATACCACACGGCATTCTAGTAGGTTGCTTCATTCATCAATCCACATAAAATTCCAATCAAGAATGCATAGATGCTAAAGATGAATATCCAGATTAACAACTTGTAGATTGTTCGGGTCATTTTGTTTTTGCTTTTCTTGGGTGTCGCGGTTACATCCCCGCCATTTTGCTCGGCTGCATGGAGTGTTTTCGGCGTAACGGAAGTTTGAATGTTAGCCTTCGTTTTCCCTACTTTCTTACTCTCCGTTTCCTCCTTGATAAAAAAAAAAACACATAAAATACACATAGTATCGAACTTCTTCGATCTTAATAATCTACGCGCCAACACCATATAAGCCGTCAACTCCGATTTCAGCCTGCTTTTCTTTTTGTATTTGCTTCCAGTCTTTGGTCAACTAAGAACAAACTAAACGGCAACAGTTGTTTGATTTTTTTATTTTTGAGTTATCTCTCCTTGGGGTTCGAACTCGGTATTTATCGGTTCAAAACTTTGAACTTAACTGACCTGACCATGCCGACCTCCATAAAATACATCGATTTGAAGGATTAAGTTGTTTAAAGATGTATTTAATATTATGCTGTAGGGTAATGTTTTATACTCTAGCTAGACCCGTCATGTATTTTAATTTTAATTCCATCGTCATACCATCATCTTTTTTTCGTTCACGCTTAACACACATTGGGCAGATGAAGTAGAGTTCATCTGCTTCAGAGACCTCGGCGTGTGAATGGATGGTGTGGTCAGCATTATGCCCAGTCGTGAATTAGGTACCCATCCGAGCTGGGTGGACTCAGGGACATTCTACTGAATTTATCCCGAATTCGAACTCGAGACTATCGGGTTAGCAGTCTAGCTCTCCACCGTTATCGTCATAAATCGTCACAAAAATCAAACCTTCCCCTAAAATGACGTCATATTTAAGCCTAAATCTTCTTGAAACATCGATTGTTTTCTTTTTCAAACATTTTCTGTGTTCAATAAACATTCAGAAAAGTAGTAAATTCGTTAGAATTTACAAAAAAAACCCAGCTTTGTTGAAAACACGACACATCGTCTGAAATTCAGTATTTAACGTTACTTTTTAAATAAACCGGGAGTGACCTCCCCTAAACTTTCTCGAATATTCTTATATAAAATAACAGGGGATGGGAACTCGGGCTATAGACATGATTTTTAATCCATTTTAAATACTTAAAGTTTTAAAAATAGAATAAAATCTCGTAGACAAATTATTTGCACACCAAGTGAACGCCCAATAAAAAAGCGCATAATAGTGCGCAATATTATTAGTACTTTTAAAATTTACATTAGTTTTTTGAGAAATCGGAAATAGCGTAAATTACTACTTCCATTCAACGGAAATTACTCAAAATTTAACAGAAGGTAGAGAATTAGATCTTTTACTTACATGTGAAATTTCATTTATCTATCTGAAATAGTACTCAAGTTATAGGCTTTTGAAAAATTCAAAGTAGGAAAAGTACCACTTCCGGTTATCGGAAATCGCTCAAAAGTTGATACGGATCTACGATTTTGATATAATACTTATATATGAAATTTCATCAACCTAGCTGTAACGGTACTCAAGTTATCGTGTTTACACACGGACACACAGACACACAGACACACACACAGACATACGGACAAGATTGCAAAATTATGTTTTTCCGTATCAGTGAGGTGTAAAACGTCGAGATCTGTAAAAATCTCGATTTTTTTTTTGCACGATTACAATACTTTCTCTATACTTCGTATATACGAGAAAGTAAAAATGCAATAAGTTTATCGTTACATTTCTGACACCCCCCCCAATCAACTCAAGATGTGTGACAAAAAATCCGAGCTCCAAGCATTTAGGAGTGTGACGTAGTTAATGAACGGTCCCCTAAGACAATGAAATCTGGGGGTCATCCATTAATGACGTCACGCTTTTTTTGACGATTTTTACCTCCCCCTCCCCTCCATGACATATCGTCACAAAAAGCCAGACCCCCTCACTAAAATGAGGTCACACCTGCAACCCCTCTCAAAATTGCAGTTAAACTTTTCTTAAAATTACAAGTTGTTTTTTTTTTTCAAAATCTTGTCTGAACTCTGTCAACATAGAGTATTTTAATCATTTCCAATAACAATTTATTTTAAAACACTTTTCTAAAACGGGAAATAACGGCTAAAATTCGTTTTTCTAACATTGCTTTTTTTTATAATGCACACTTGTGACGTCACACAATCTACCCCCCCCCCCCCTCGCATACACAGAATTACGGACCCCCACTCCCCCTTACGAGTGTGACGTCATTATGCACGACCATTACATACCATCACAATACCTGCTTACCTCGGACATCCCGCTGATTGCATATAAGCAACACAACACAATCCAATTGCAGACGCACATGATGCTCAGAAACAACGACAGCTCACGCATACCCGGCCGAGAGAGGTCGCTGATCTTCGAAAGCAAACACTGTCCAAACATTATAAACGGAGCTGATGAGTGGTAAGAAAGATTAGGGTTAGGATTGAAAGTTTTGGGCTTAGTGTAAATTGTTTTGGAATGGGGTTAGAACATTTAGACATCGTTCAGCGATTTAATTTAGATAGATTAGTTTGAAACAATGTGACAAATAAATTTAAAAAAAAAATTTATACTTAAGTTTTATCCTAGCTGTTATATTTTTTACCCGCAATCATAGCATAAATACTTTATTCAAAAAATATATATATAAATAAAAATATAGACAGACAGACAGACAGACAGACAGACAGACAGACAGACAGACAGACAGACAGACAGACAGACAGACAGACAGACAGACAGACAGACAGACAGACAGACAGACAGACAGACAGACAGACAGACAGACAGACAGACAGACAGACAGACAGACAGACAGACAGACACACAGACAGACAGACAGATAGACAGACAGACAGACAGACAGACAGACAGACAGACAGACAGACAGACAGACAGATAGATAGATAGATAGATAGATATATAGCCTTTACACACACACACACACACACATATATATATATATATATATATATATATATATATATATATATATATATATATATATATATATATATATATATATATATAGGGTCTATATAAAGCAACCGCTGATAGAAATAAACTTGACCAAATGTTTACCACAGTACAATTTCTTTCCCGGCGGTAGAGGGACGATGAACAAGAGCACCGAGATAAAAGGGGGGATAATCATGGGCAAAATTCCCATCCTCTCATTCAGCGATCGTATGCGCTGGACTGTGAGGTCCACCTGAAATGTTTGTCAACACATCAAGGTGATTAGAGCATGGTTAGAAAATACTTTGATACAGAATTAGCGGGACGTTTTACATGTCGAAAAGTAAAGATATAAAAATCACAAAGTGTTTAAGGATATGTTTATGGAAATCAGCATATGCTAAGAGTAAAATCGATATCTTGCATTTTAGAGATAGTCGGTGTTAAGGGGTTAAGAATAGACGAAATGGAATTTTTTTATTCATTATCCACATGACTTGTGCTTCACTTGCCCCATAGACCGTCAGGGTTGAAAGGGAACTTCAATTTTACTTTACTTACACATAATTTCTAGAATTTATTATTGTCTACATGAATGTGCTGCCTAATTGTATTTCTTTTGGTTGCGTTTTATATTTATGGTACAGAACATCTAGTTATAGCTCAAAAGTTTTAGCTATAGTACACATCTAGTTATAGTTTCAAGGCTATATTCAAGGCAACCTAATAAGGGAATTTATAATCTAGCTATAGTACATAAAACCTAGCGATAGTACAGAAAATGTAGCTAGAGTGCAGATCTAGCTAGAGTACAGATCTAGCTAGAGTGCAGATCTAGCTAGAACACATGTGTAGCTTGAATATAAATCTTGCTAGAGTACAAATCTAGCTTAAGTACATATCTAGCTACAGTAAAAAATATAGCTAGAATACAGATCTAGCTAGAGTACAGATCTAGCTAGAGTACAGATCTAGCTACAGTAAAAATATAGCTAGAGTACAGATCTAGCTAGAGTACAGATCTAACTAGAGTACAGATCTAGCTAGAGTACAGATCTAGCTAGAGTACAGATCTAGATAGAGTACAGATCTAGCTAGAGTACATATCTAGCTAGAGTAGAGATCTAGCTAGAGAACAGATCTGGATAGAGTACAGATCTAGCTAGAGTACAGATCTAGCTAGAGTACAGATCTAGCTAGAGTACAGATCTGGATAGAGTACAGATCTGGATAGAGTACAGATCTAGCTAGAGTACAGATCTAGCTAGAGTACAGATCCAGCTAGAGTACGGAAGATCTAGTTAGTAGGCCTACAGAGCGCAGAAGAACGTTGATCTTACGACAGAACGCGAACTAGTGCGATAGTAATGAATTAGACTCAAAATTAAGTGTGTACGTTATCCTTGTTTAACCGTCCCTCACGTCTGACCCAGGTGATGCGATACACGGGGGTGGGGAGCCAGAGGCGTAGGAGGTGGGGGGGGCGGGGAGGGCATATGTCCCTGGGCGCCAACCTTAGGGGGGGGGGCGCCAAATTGAAAGTTTGAGGGGGGGGCTGCAAATGAAAAGTTCGTGGGGGGTGCAAATTGAAAGTTTGAGTGGGGGGGGGGGGGGTGCAAATGAAAAGTTCGAGGGGGGGGTGCAAATCGAAAGTTTGAGGGGTGGGGTGCAAATGAAATTTCGACGGGGGGGGGGGTGCACATCGAACGTTTGTCCCCGGGCGCCGGGAAGGGTCGCTACGCCTTTGTGGGGAGCGGTCAACATTTTCCGGGGGGGGGGCGACAACGGTAAAAGTATAAGTTTTCTATATAAATTTCATGACGATAAGATAACGCTGATTTGATGATTCTTCATCAGTGTTTCTTCCAGACTTTTTTAGGATTGGGGGGGGGGGGGCGACTTGAAATTTTGAAATTTACATTTAATTTTCGGGGAGGGAGGATGCTGGTAAAAGTATATATTCCCTGTAAAACTTATATTTCTTTGAGGGAGGGGGGGCGGTAGACGTTTATCGTGGTATAGGGGAGAGGGGTGGACACTGGTAAAAGAAAGTATGTATTTTCTATATAAATTTTATGTCGTTGGGGTGAGGGGGGGGGGGGAGGGGGGCGGTAAGCGTTTTTTTATTATCCTATTCACCTCTTCTGGTTATATCAGGCATGACTGTAAGGAATATTGTCCAACTATTAAATTCCGAAAAGAAATTACCTGGATAGTCGAGTAGAGCTGATTGAAGAACTTCAAAGTTTTATTGGCGTTGCCTGCACGGGCGTTTAAAAGCTGCAACAACAGTTCATCGTATTTACCAGTAAGATAAACACAATAGACACCACAATAGACACCACAATAGACACCACTATAGACACCACAATAGACACCACAATAGACACCACAATAGACACCACAATAGACACCACAATAGACACCACAATAGACACCACAATAGACACCACAATAGACACCACAACACACACCACAATAGACATCACAATAGATACCACAATAGACACCACAATAGACACCACAATAGACACCACAACTACCACAAAAAACAAAAATCGAACAAAGGAGAGCCATAGTCATGAATTAGACTCAAAATTAAGTTTATACGTTATCTTTTGTTCGAACTGTCCCTCACGCCCGACCCAGGTGATGCGATACACTTGGGGGGGGGGGGGGGGGTGGAGAGGGGAGGGGGGGGAGGGGATGGAGGGGGGGAATGGAGGGGGGGGGGGTAAAAGTCTGACGTTAACCCAAGCGTCAAGCGACCGATAAGATGACCCTGATTTGATTCTTCATCCTATTCAGTGTTTCTTCCAGACTTTTATCTCTGGGGGAGGAGGGGGGGGGGGGGGCTAAAATTATCCGGGAGGGGTGGCTGATACTGGTAAAAATATATATTTTCTATATAATTTCTGTGTCATTGGGAGGGGTGGGGAGGGTCTAACCCCCCCCCCCCCTCCCCACCCACTAGCGAAGAGATGATCTAATTCACCTCTTCTACATAAACCAATCATGGCATTAAGGAACATTGTACAACTATAAAATTCCGAAAAAGAAATTACCTCCATACTCGGGTCGATGCGATGGAGGAACATCAAAGTTTTTTTGACCACATCGACACGGGCGTTTAAAATCTCCCACCTGCGATTTCGTGATTCGTGGGTCGTCTCCGTTTGGTTTTCCTCCAACACAAACTGCAACTGGTGTGCAGGGTGTATCTGTGACGCCAACTGCAACAACAGTTTATCTCAATTGCTAGTAAGATAACCCAGAGGCGTAGCGAGGGGGTGCGGGGGGGGGGGGGTGCGGAACGCACCGGGTGACACCATTTAGCGGGGTGACACCAATAGCAAAATATATATAGAAAAACTTGAGGGGGTGCAAATCGAAAGTTTGAGGGGGGGGGGTGCAAATAAAAAATTTGAAAGTTTGTTCCCGGGAAGGGTCGCTACCCCTCTGGGGGTGACACCATTAAGTGCCGCACCGGGTAACACCCGACCTCGCTACGCCACTGAGATAACCACAATAGACACCACAACTACCACAAAAAACAACAATCGACACTACTAGAACCATAATTTTAACCACAATAGCCAACGCAATCACCACAGAAAACACAACAATACCCACCACAATAAACACAAAACTAAAACTGTAGTCATCACAATAACCTTAAAAAAACACAATAACCACATCAATAATCACATCAGTAACCACATCAATAACCACATCAATAACCACATCAATAAACACATCAATAACCACATCAATAACCACATCAATAACCACATCAATAACCACATCAATAATCACATAAAAAACCACATCAATAACCATCAAAATAACCTTCAAAATAATCATCAAAATAACCATCATAATAACCACAATAACCACTACTGCCACCACTATAACCACCGAAATAACCACACAACTAAAACTGTAATCATCACAATAACCTCAAAAACACAATAACGATAACCACCATAAAAAAACACAAAACCACCCCAATAACCACCCCAATAGCCACCCCAATAATCATCATAACCACAACGATAACCGCAAAACTAAAATAAACCGGTAGTGATCTCCCCTAAACTTTCTCGAATATATGAAACAACAGGGGATGGCAACTCGGGGTATAGACATGATTTTTAATCCATTTTAAATACTTAAACTTTTTAATATAGAATAAAATCTCGAAGAAAAAATAATTGCCCACCAAGTGAACGCCGAATAAAATGTGCATAATAGTGCGGAATATTATTAGTATTTTATAAATTTTTTTTTTGAGAAATTGGAAATAGCAAAAATTACTACTTCCGGTCAACAGAAATTACTCAAAATTTGAAAGAAGGCAGAGAATTAGATCTTTTACTTACATATGAAATTTCACTTATCTATCTGAAATAGTACTCAAGTTGACAGGCTTTTGAAAAATTCAAAGTAGAAAAAGGTCCACTTTCTGTTATCGAAAATCACTGAAAAGTTGATACGGATCTACGATTTTGATACAATACTTATATAAGAAATTTCATCAACCTAGCTGTAACGGTACTCAAGTTATCGTGTTTACACACACACACACACACACACACACACACACACACACACACACACACAAACATACACACACAGAGACATACGGGCAAGATTGCAAAACTATGTTATTCCGACTCCGGGAGCTGTATAATGTCGAGATTTGCAAAAATCTCGATTTTTTTGCACGATTACAAAACTCTCTATACTTCGTATATACGAGAAAGTAATATTAGCCATCTCAATAGCCTTCAAAAACCACAATAAGCACGATAATAACCACCAAAATAACCACAATAAACACCACAATATAATCAATAACCCCCACAAAAACCACCACAAAACCACCACAATAACCATTACCCACATGTAACTCGCACTTCAGCGTGTCCGAAGGTTGTTCTCGGCAGTCTGCATGTAAATTGAGATATTGTGGCGCCCAAGAGACAAGCCCCGTGTGACGTACATCCACAACGCTGTGAAGAGACGTTTGGTCTGGCTTTAAGACAAATGGCTACACGGAGTCCGACTATAAGACAAATGGCTACTGGGTGTATGGGATTGAGAGATATGGCTACAGGGAGCCTGGCTTTAAGACGATTAGCTACAGGGAACCTGGTATTAAGAAAAGTGGCTACAGGGAGTCTAGCTCTAGCAAAATAGGCTATAGTGAGTTTGACAGTAAAGCAACTGGCTACATGGAGTCAGGTGTTAAGACAGGGGGCTACAGGGGCTCATGGAGTGTGACATTAAGACGACTGTCTGCAGGGAGTGTAGCATTAAGGAAAGTGACTAAAGGGAGTCTGGAATTAAGCGCTCAGGTCTAGTGATGCTTACAATCTAACATAAATACGTGAAGCTACATACAGTCTACCACTAACACTAGCTGGTGCTCCATAATTCACACGTGTAACAAAATATAACTCAATACACCAGTTAAAAACTACAACGTGTAACTAAATATAACAACATACCAGCTAAAAACACATGTGTAACAAAATATAATTCAACATACCAGTTAAAAAACACATGTGTAACAAAATATAACTCAACACACCAGCTAAAAAACTCACACATGTAACTACATCAAGTGCAGTATTATTGCTGTGTCTGATAAAACAAGCACCAAATCATCGACGCTAATGAGAACTATAATTACCCTGTGACGTCAGCAACAGGGTGAAAGCTCGGGATGATGGTCTGTAGGTATACGAGAGGACGCCAGACCTGGGCAGGTTCAACGCGTATGCCCTTTTGACCCCCGTAGTCTGCTGGGTCCCAGGTCAGAAACTGTTCATAAATGGGATCAAATCAAATACGTAAGTTCTGGAAATTGGTTTTAAAAGACACATATCCTTAAGGTGTTTATTACTTTCATTCAGAGTTTCTTCCAGGCAGAGCCCCCCCCCCCTCCGAAGAAAGTCTACCGCCCTCCCCCTGAACGAAATGGAATTTATATAGAAAACATATACTTTTACCAGTATCCGCCCCCCCCCCCGGAAAATATTGTACGCCCCCCCTCCCCCGGACATATCAAGTGACCCCCCCCCCCCCCCCCACCGGAGAAAATAGTCTGAAACAGTGGCGTAGCGAGGTCGGGTGTCACCCGGTGCGGCACTTAATGGTGTCACCCCCCCCCCCAGAGGCATAGAGACCCTTCCCAGGGACAAACTTTCAAATTTTCGATTTGCACCCCCCCCCCTCAAACTTTCGATTTGCACCCCCCCCCCTCGAGTTTTCGATTTGCACCCCCCCTCAAACTTTCGATTTGCACCCCCCCCTCGAGTTTTTCTCTATATATTTTGCTATTTTTTGTGTGGTCCGCACCCCCCGCCCCCCCCCCCCCCCATCGCTACGCCCCTGGTCTGAAAGAAAAACTGATTTCATTCAGAGTATTTGTAGCTCCTCCAATCTTGGAGTATCAATTTAACCACTTCTCATTGTCCGATTAAGCTGAAATTCAGACAGTAGTAGATCTTAGATCAAATTGAAAGAATATTTATTTTCTAACCTACTTAAATGGGACGGCGTGGAATAGCGGTAGAGGGCGATACGGCTAACCGGAAAGTCAGTAGACCGTCCCAGAGACGACCCAAGTGAGGTACCTAAGTGAGGTACCTGAGGTACTTACGTGAGGTACCTAAGTGAGGTACCTAAGTGAGGTACCTAAGTGAGGTACCTAAGTGAGGTACCTAAGTGAGGTACCTAAGTGAGGTACCTAAGTGAGGTACCTAAGTGAGGTACCTAAGTGTGGTACCTAAGTGAGGTACCTAAGTGAGGTACCTAAGTGAGGTACCTAAGTGAGGTACCTAAGTGAGGTACCTAAGTGAGGTACCTAAGTGAGGTACCTATGAATTTTTACCTCAACGTCGTATATTTAAAAAGTTACATGGTTGGGACAGTGGCGTCGCAAGGTCGGTTGTCACCCGATGCGGTACCTCATTGTGTCCCCCACCCCACCCCACCGCCCCCACCTCGCGACGCCTCTGGGCGGCTGGGAGAAAAGTGGGTGATAAGTGTGTATAGTCAGTTCTTTTTTATCAGAAACTTTTCTCCGGGGTAGAGGGCAAGCACAACTTGAAACTTTCGAGGGGCGGGGTAAATAATGGTTGAAGTATATTCTCTATATCAGGGGTTCCCAACCCCGTGCCCGCGGGCGCCATGGCGCCCGCCGAACGATTCGTAATTGCCCGCCTCTCACTATTCGACAGAGACAGAATTTTTTTCATAAACATTATTGAAAGGTTGAAGGGGGTGGAAATCGAAAGTTTGAGGGGGGTGTGAAAATAGAAAGTTTGAGGGGAGGGGTGCAAATCGAAAGTTTGAGGGGGGGGGGGTGCACATATCGAAAGTTTGGGGGGGGGGTGCAAATCGAAAGCTTTGTCCCCGGATGACGGGAAGGGTCGCTACGCCTCTGGAAGGAGTTTGTCGATTTAAAATAGGTGGTGCCCGCCACCCTACCGATATTTTAGAATGTTTTCTAGAGTGAAAAAAGGTTGGGAACCCCTGCTCTATATAAACTTTATTTCGCTCGGGGTGGGGGAGGTAGACGTGCTTCGGTTGGAGGGGGGGGGATTGCTCCCCACGAAGAGATGCCTGAAAGAAACTCTATATAGTGAGAGGAAAATACTGAACACTGTGTGTAGTCCGGTGTTTGAATTGAGTAGCATTCGATGTTAACATGTGCAAGATAATTAAGTCAAACGATCGCTTAATGATTAATGGTTGAGTAAACTTACATTAGCTGGTGTAAGGCTGTTTGAGTGGTTGTGTTTGATATGTCAGTTAAAGTATAGTGTTACATTAATTTAAGTAATATTACTTGATTGTAATATTACCTTAAAAAAGTATCCTTTCGAGCCTGATAGTAACTATGGCAGGTGACGTAGATTTCACATGTTTCTGTGAAGTCGGTGTATAGTGTTGTAAGCGTTATACCCAGCTGCTTTACTTTTCCTAAATTAAGTCGGGTACCCATTAGAGCTGGGTGGGCTCAAGAAACATTCGACAGACTCAAGCCCGGGATCAGAACTCGAGACTTTCGGGCGGAAGTCATTTTATAAGAGTTGTAGTAATACCTGAGTTAAAGTAAAGTTACCTGTGTTGAGGTAATCCTTCCTTATTTAACGTAATATTACTTGAGTTAAAGTTACCTGTGTTGAGGCAATGTTTGAATTTTTCCTTAACTAAAGTATTAGTATCTTAGTTGAAGTAAAGTTACCTGTGGTGAGGTAATGCTTCCTTATTTAAAGTAATATTACCTGAGTTAAAGTTAGCTGCGTTGACGTAATGTTTTAATGTTTTCTGAGTTCAAATAATTTTACCTGAGTTAAATTAATGTTACCTATGGTAAGGTAATGTTTCATAAGTTAAAGTAATATTACCTCAGTTAAATTAAAGTTACCTATGGTGAGGTAATGTTTCATAAGTTAAAGTAATATTACCTCAGTTAATTTAAAGTTACCTATGATGAGGTAATGTATTATAAGTTAAAGTAATATTACCTGTGTAAGTAAATTACCTCTAGTGAGGTAATATTTCCTAAGCTACAGTAATATTTTACCTCAGTTGAAGTAAATTCACCTGTGGTGAGGTAATGTTACCTAAGTTAAAGTAGTATTACCTTAGCTAAAGTTACCTATGGTGAGGTAATATTTCATAACTTAAAGTTATTTTACCCCAGTTGAAGTAAAGGTACCAGGGTTGGAGTAACCACTTACCTCATCAGTCCAAGAAAAATGTACATCTTCAAGAAACTTCAACTCTCCCGTCCCTCTGTTAAAATCGACGATGGAAACTATTCTAAAACCCACGGACACAACTGTTACGTCCGAGCTGTTCTTGACCGGCCGGACCCGCGGGTTATAAGCATCGCTGCTGAACTTGTCATTTAAAAGGGAGTTATTTTGTTGGAACGTTTGGCCTTGAACTTGAGGCGTGAGTACGAGTGTCATAAGGAGAATTATCGATCCAGGTGCCATTGTCTGGGTCAGTGCTCTCCAAAACGTTCTGTGAGACTCGACTCTCGGTCAGTGTCTTAAGAAGGCGGACATTTCACTTGGCGCTGGTTTCCTGTTATAAACAATGTTTATTTGATAACGTAATTATATAAATGCTTATAAATTGGCGTAATTGACAGTCGGTAGCCTACATTAAAAGAGTGACACACTAGTTAAGGCATGTGCATGCATTGCATTGTCTAGAACACCATGCTTTATGTTCTTTATATGTGATTAAAATGTTATAATAACGAATTTTAAAGAGTGTTGCAGCTTTGCAACATGGTGCATTTAATGGTTAAGGAAAAAATGAAAACAAATAAGTAAATGGGAAATTAATTTAAACTTAACGCTGCTATAAATCTATAAAAAGTTTCTGTAGCAATGAATTTCCGTTTCAATTTTCCTGCAATCGCTAATAACCTAACAAGCCTTTGTAAAGGCTAGAACTAATTGTTAGTACTAATAACTATAGATTTAAAAAAACTGAGGTTCTCAGTGAGAGACTGCACCAAATATGAATCTAAACACTTAAACCGAACTTGTGCCTGATTGACGACACATCTCATTAGCATAAATCAATAACGTGTTAGCACAAATATTACACAGAACGAGATGTGGTGGTTGTTTCTGTTTTTTGTCGCTAGACTGGCATGAAGAAAAATAAATAACGAGTAGATAATGTATTTCTAATGTTTTTTGTCGCTAGACTGGCATGAAGAAAAATAAATAACGAGTAGATAATGTATTTCTAATGTTTTTTGTCGCTAGACTGGCATGAAGAAAAATAAATAACGAGTAGATAATGTATTTCTAATGTTTTTTGTCGCTAGACTGGCATGAAGAAAAATAAATAACGAGTAGATAATGTATTTTTAATCGTGATAGTATTGTGCGCAAATGGGGCGAGGGGGTGGGTGGGGGGGGGGGGGGGGTGTGACACTCAGACGAAGGGAAAGCAACAAACAATTTCAACTTTTAAAAAATCTAGTTAGCGTACGACGGTCGTATTTTGTACAGTGGCATTTATGAGCATAATGCCTTTTAAAAAGCCTTAAAAATACACTATTTAAAATAAGGAGAACTTTTATAAAATAATTTTGGGGACAGATTCTAAACCATTTTATTTTAAAATATACATTTTCTTTCATATAATTCATAATTAAACTGTGAATTCTAAAATAAGCATATTTTACGTGCTCTTTTACTAGCCAGTAAAATTCTTAAAATATTTTAAAAACATAGCATTTTGGCAAACATTCATCAATGTATTAATAAAAACAAACTATTTTGCTGACATCTATAATATAATCGGGCTGAGCGTGTCCTTCCGTCCGTCATCGCTATGGATTTTGGGACTATAAAAGTAAGCTACGCACCATGCTGTGCTTTTCAGTGCACCGCAGTGTCTTATTATAAGTATTAGAGTAGGGTTTGTTTATATAGTGGCATAGAGCTATTTTATAATTTCCACTGTTTGTACAATTTTGCATAACGTAAAGAGAATATTAAATACACGCACATTGCTAAAACATATTAAAAGGATCAATGTCAAATATTGTTTTCTTTTTTATGCCTTAGAAAGGTGGAAACATTTTAATAACGTAATAACAGTAGGCTAGAAAAATCAAATTAATTTAACTCTTTTTTTGACAAGGGAGGTAATTTAAAAATAAATTAAACTCACGCTAATAAAAAAATGTGAATGCAAATCTACGGACCTCTTAGAAGGAATTAGTGTTGCAATAATATAATTAGCAAAATGTGAATGCAAATTGTGCGGATGCGGATTGTTAGAAAATTATAATTAGCATGGATTGATAAAAGGCAATCTTTTATTTATTTTATTCACTACTTCTAATTTTTAATCAACTATTCCGCACCATTATAGACATTGGGTGCGCAATGGTTTTAGTTATGAAACTCAATTGAAAATTTTTAAAATTAAAATACTGGGAAAAAATGCGTGAATTGATAAAGTGATATATGGTAGGTAAACACTGATATTTTAAATATTGCCTATTTTTTATTGTATATTATTTATTATTATTTTATCTTTCGGTTTGCGGACAAGCTGGGGTTTTATAAGAGAGGCGTAGCTAGGGGGGGGGGGGGTTGGAAATCGAAAGTTTTAGGGAGGGGGGTAGGGTGCGAATCGAAAGTTTTAGGGGGTGCAAATCAAAAGTTTGAGCGGGGGAAATTTCAAATCAAAAGTGGTGCAAATCGAAAGTCTGAAGGGAATGCAAATCAAAAGTTTAAGGGGGTGGGGTGGAAATTGAAATTTTGAGGGGAGGGGGTGCAAATCGTAAGTTTGAGGGAGGGTCAAATCGAAAGTTTGTCCCCGGGCGCCGGAAAGGGTCGCAACACCTCTGTTTTGTAGTCATTCACTGTGTCAGACGCGTCCGCCGGGACTCGGAAAGGGCGCGATTTGGCGCTACGGGCTAGACTGTGAGCAATATGCCTTTATGATTGCATTTAAATTGTGTTTATGTTATGAGTGTTGTGTTCGTTTTTTCGTTTTTTTTTTTTTGCGTTCGTTCGTTTGTGTTGTGTTTAGTTTTGTTCTGTTCCAAAGTTGGTATATTTAAAAATGATTTACCGTGGCGGAGCACGGGATACAGCTAGTCTATAATATAAGCGGGCTGTGTCTGTCCGTCATCGCTATAGATTTTGGGACTATAAAAGTAAACTACGCACCATGCTGTGCTTTTCAGTGCACCGCAGTGTCTTATGATAAGCATTAGAGTAGGGTTTGTTTATATAACGACATAGAGCTATTTTATAATTTCCACTGTTTGAACAATTTTGCATAACGTAAAGAGAATATTAAATACATGCACATTGCTAAAACATATTAAAAGGATCAATGTCAAATATCGTTTTCGTTAATATTCCTAGAGAAAGTGGATACATTTTAATAACATAATAGCTGTAGGTTAGAAAAATCTAATTAAACTGTTTAGTAATTTTGCCAAGGGAGGTATTTTAAAAATAAATTGAACTCACGCTAAAAATGTGAATGCAAAATCTGCAAGACGGAATAATTGTTGGAATAATATAATTAGCAAAATGTGAATGCAAATTATGCAGACGTGTAAAAGTACATTATTGTTGGAATATTATAATTAGCATTGATTGATAAAAGGCTATTTTTTATTTATTTTATTCACTGAATGTAATGTTTACTACTTATAATTTTTAATCAACTATTAAGCACTATTATAGACGCGTCATCACGTTCATTCGGTGCGCAATGGTTTTAGTTATGAAACTCTATTGTAAATTTTTAAAATTTAAAGTACTGGGAAAAAAATGCGTGAATGGATAAAGTGAAATATTGTAGGTAAAACACGGATATTTTAAATACTGCCTATTATTTCGGTTTGCGGACAAGCTAGGGGTTTTATAGGAGAGGCGTAGCGAGGGGGGGGGGGGCATATGTCCTCGGGTGCCAACCTTAGGGGGCGCCAAAGTGGGTTGGAAAAAATTTGCGAGGGGGGGGTGGAAATCGAAAGTTTTAGGGCGGAGGGGGGGGGGGGGGGCAGGTGTGCAAATCGAAAGTTTGAAAGGTGTGCAAATCACAGGAAAGGGCGCGATTTTGCGCTACGGGCTAGACTGTGAGCAATATGCCTTTATGATTGCATTTAAATTGTGTTTATGTTATGAGTGTTGTGTTTGTTTTTTCGTTTGTGTTTTTTTTTGCGTTCGTTTGTGTTGTGTTTAGTTTTGTCCTGTTCCCAAGTTGGTACATTTAAAAAAGATTTACCGTGGCGGAGCACGGGATGCAGCTAGTTTATATTATAAAACCTTACAGTATTTCAAACGCAAATGTCTGAATTAAATTGTGTTCTTTATATTTAAAGTGTAAATGGAAACTTGGTTTATTAGCTAACAACTACTTCATTAATTTATAAGACACAGTACATGAAGTAAAAAGATGTCCTTCAAAACAATTTTAAATCTTTGCTTGTAGGAGGTATGCAGAAAACCGCATGTGAAGAACAAAATACGATGAACGAAAATAGAGTTATACACATTAAACTACATTAACAATTTATTCGACAAAAAAAAAGAACAAAATTCCCTATACCAGTATAAAGTAAAATAACGTACACAATTTGAAAAAAAAAACTATTCCTATAAATTAAAATAACTTATACGACTAGAAAGGAAATTTTGTAAAATAACTAAAGCTATGCAGTAAAATAACTTACACGATTAGAAAGTAAATTTTAATTAAATAACCAACACTATTAAGTAAAATAACTTACACGATTAGAAAGTAAATTTTAGTTAAATAACCAACACTATAAATTAAAATAACTTACACGATTAGATAGTAAATTTTAGTTAAATAACCAACACTATAAAGTAAAATAACTTACACGAATAGAAATTAAGAATCGGCAGACATTGTACTGAGGAGTTAGCATCACGATGCACTCACCTCTATGTGTACTCTCTGCATCCTCTGCACAAGTGAACCTCACCCTCAGCATTCAACCAATCACAGAGCCAGTTTGCCGTCTGCGCCCCGTCCCATAACACATCGCAGCATGCAGACTGCGCCCCCTACCCCTCTCCACCCCCTCGCACCCCGTGACGTAATACAAGCATAAATGTCCGAGATATCCCCCCCCCCCCCCATCTCTATCGATATCTACTCAAGTGTCATTCTGTTGGATGTAGCTTGCTGTGAACAATATGGCGTAACTAGGAGGGGTGCGGTGGGGTGCGCGAAGTGGCGTCACTATGTCGAGTGTCACCACGACCTCTTCGTGACTCACTATGTGCGTGAGTAAACAGCCAATCGAATCATTATAAAACATTACATCTCATTGTTTACCAGACAACAACAAAGGCCCGTAATTTTATTTTCTCTGCCTGCACGAAGGCGTCACGCAACAGCCGAGCACGCAGCGAGCTAGGGTCGTGTAGAAGTCGTACGGATATGTTATACATTAATGGTCAGAAAGCCCGCAGCATTAAAGGACATCTATACTCCGTTTGAAACCAGTTAATTATTGTCGGGGTCACTTTCTGTCACAGCATGCTGTATGTCATGTGCTGTATGTCATTTCCTGTCACATCATGCTGTATGTCATGTGATGTATGTCACTTTCTGTCACATCATGCTGTATGTCATTTCCTGTCACATCATGCTGTATGTCACTTTCTGTCACATCATGCTGTATGTCACTTTCTGTCACATCATGCTGTATGTCATTTTCTGTCACATCATGCTGTATGTCACTTTCTGTCACATCATGCTGTATGTCACTTTCTGTCACATCATGCTGTATGTCATGTGATGTATGTCACTTTCTGTCACATCATGCTGTATGTCACTTTCTGTCACATCATGCTGTATGTCACTTTCTGTCATTGTGATAAACCTGTTTCTTACCTCACAAAGTGGCATAGCTAAGGGAGGAAGGTGGGACGGCTGCCCATGGCGCCGACCATAAGGTGAGGAGCCAAAAGTGGTAGAAAAACAATTAAAAAGCTCATTTAAAGCTGAAGTATTAAATAATACACAAAGTTATGAAAATAAAAAGCTGCAAGGCTTTACACACTGAGTTTACTGATTTCTAAATCAACTGTGTGCCACCAGAGTTTCTTCCAGGCATCTCTCCCGGGGGGGGGGGGGTTTAAGCCCCCCCCCCCTCCCCCCCCCGAAAAATTTTTACCGCCTTCCCAAACGAAATGAAATTTATATAATTTATATAGAAAATATATACTTTTAACAGTGTCCGCCCCCCCCCCCGAAGAAAGTCTTCCGCCCCCCCCCCCCCCGAAAGTTCAAGTGCCCCCCCCCCCCCGGAGAAAAAAAAAGTCTGGAACAAACACTGGTGTGCCACCAACATAAAAACTGTTACGAGATAATGACTGGTAAAATATGCCACCAATCTTCCCAATTCGTAGTGGGGTGGGGGGGGGGGGGGGGCTATTTCACCAACATGATAAACTATATAGTCTACAGGAATGGAAGGAGGGGGCAAAATTTGATATTCCACCTGGCGCTGGAATGGGACACTACGCCTCTGAATTCACAATAGGAATATAATCAAGCCATAATAACGCCCTTCAGTGACGATTTTGAAATTTTACTGGTGCTTTTTGACGATATTTACATCATCCCACCCTCCCCACCGTCCCACATCGTCACAAAATACCAGACCCCTCCCCTCTTAATATGATGCCACACAGCCTACCCCCCCCCCCCCCTCAAAATTGCAGTTGAATTGTTTTTAAAACATCGATGTCTTTTTTTCCAAAATCTTGTCTGAACTCGTTCAAGATAAAGTATTTTAATCAATTTCTATTACAATTTTTTTTTATCAAAACAGTTTTCTAAAACAAGAAATAGCGGCAAAAATTAGTTTTCTAAAAGAGCTTTTTTTGTAATGCAAAAGTGTGACGTCATGCCATCTGAACCCCCCTCCTCATAACACACAGTCACAAAATTACCGACTCCTCTTCTCCCCCCCCCCCTACGAGTGTGACGTCATTTAAAGACGACCCCCTTTAGTCACGCACATACACATACAAACACAGAAACACACATACACACACATACACACACATACAAACACACACACATACACACACACATACACACGCAAACACACACACATACACACACACAATGGCTAGCCTTTCCTTCATTTTTACTTTCTCGTATATACGTAGTATAGAGAAAGTATTGTAATCGTGCAAAAAAAAAAAATCGAGATTTTTACAAATCTCGACGTTTTACACCTCACTGATACGGAAAAACATAATTTTGCAATCTTGTCCGTATGTCTGTGTGTGTGTGTGTCTGTGTGTCTGTCCGTGTGTAAACACGATAACTTGAGTACCGTTACAGCTAGGTTGATGAAATTTCATATATAAGTAGTTTATCAAAATCGTAGATCCGTATCAACTTTTGAGCGATTTCCAATAACCGGAAGTGGTACTTTTCCTACTTTGAATTTTTTAAAAGCCTATAACTTGAGTACTATTTCAGATAGATAAATGAAATTTCACATGTAAGTAAAAGATCTAATTATCTACCTTCTGTTAAATTTTGAGTAATTTCCGTTGACTGGAAGTAGTAATTTACGCTACTTCCGATTTCTCAAAAAACTAATGTAAATTTTTAAAGTACTAATAATATTGCGCACTATTATACGCGATTTTATTCGGCGTTTGCTTGGTGCGCAATGTTTTTTTTATGAGATTCTATTCTATTTTTAAAAGTTTAAGTATTTAAAATGGATTAAAAATCATAACTATATCCCCAGTTACCATCCCCTGTTGTTTTATATAAGAATATTCGAGAAAGTTTAGGGGAGATCACTACCGGTTTATTATCTACAATTACCATATCCCCTATCTAGAAAGCACTTTAAAAAATCACCTCGAAGTTTGCCACACGCGATGGCAGCGTTTATCAGTTTAAATTACCCTATTCGTGCTTGTCAATTGTGTAACGAATATGGGTTAAAACATCGCTACAATTATTTATTTTTTTATGTGGCTACAGAGAAATGATAGGACTGATCAATCTCAGTCGTTTGTGTATGCATTCGGTTGCGCCAATTACCCCCCCCCCCACTTCCTCTCCCCCCTCTCCCGCCCCTGTGCCCTTCGCCACTGTTACATGTCATTGTCTGATGTCATCTGTTCTCTGTTTAGTAACATCATGACATTTGATTTCGATGGACAGAAAAAACAAACATATGCATGAATAAACAAATTGAGTTACGGTTTATTTTGAAGACGTTATGTTAACGAAACACACACACACACATACTTGCACACGCACACACACAAACACGCACACGCACATGCAGTATGTGCAACTGACCGTAAGTCAAAACGTTTCCAACAGCAGTGTTAATGTGGCTATGAAGTTGTAATGTTAAAGATATATCCTTAGCAAACTGCACGCAGATCGTAAGCAAGAGTGCCCTTAAAAGATCATATGCTTGAGCCTATTGTAAAAGATCATATGCTTGAGTCTATTGTAAAAGATCATATGCTTGAGCCTATTGTAAAAGATCATATTGTTGAGCCTATTGTAAAAGATCATATGCTTGAGTCTATTGTAAAAGATCATATGCTTGAGCCTATTGTAAAAGATCATATGGTTGAGCCTATTGTAAAAGATCATATGCTTGAGTCTATTTTAAAAGATCAAATGCTTGAGTCTATTGTAAAAGATCATATGCTTGAGTCTATTGTAAAAGAACATATGCTTGAGCCTATTGTAAAAGATCATATGCTTGAGCCTATTGTAAAAGATCATATGCTTGAGCCTAATGTAAATGATCATAAGTAAGAGTATCCAGCCGGTCAGTCGGTCGGTCAGTCGGTCGGTCAGTCGGTCGGTCAGTCGGTCGGTCAGTCGGTCGGTCAGTCGGTCAGTCGGTCGGTCAGTCGGTCGGTCAGCCGTTCGGTCAGTCGGTCGGTCAGTCGGTCGGTCAGACGGTCGGTCAGTCGATCGGTCAGCCGTTCGGTCAGTCGGTTGGTCAGTAGGTTGGTCAGTCGGTCGGTCAGTCGGTCGGTCAGTCGGTCGGTCAGTCGGTCGGTCAGTCGGTCGGTCGGTCGGTCAGTCGGTCGGTCAGTCGGTCGGTCAGTCGGTCGGTCGGTCAGATCTAATCAACCAGTCGGCTAGTCAGTCAGTCCGTCCGTCCGTCCGTCCATCTCTCCGTCCGTCCATCTCTCCGTCCGTCCGTCCATATCTCCGTCCGTCCGTCCGTCCATCTCTCCGTCCGTCCGTCCATCTCTCTGTCCGTCCGTCCATCTCTCTGTCCGTCCGTCCATCTCTCCGTCCATCCGTCCATATCTCCGTCCGTCCGTCCATCTCTCCGTCCGTCCGTCCATCTCTCTGTCTGTCCGTCCGTCTCTCCGTCCGTCCATCCCTCCGTCCATCCGTCCATATCTCCGTCCGTCCGTCCATCTCTCTGTCCGTCCGTCCGTCTCTCCGTCCGTCCGTCCATCCGTCCATCTCTCCGTCCGTCCGTCCATCTCTCCGTCCGTCCGTCCGTCCATCTCTCCGTCCGTCCGTCCATATCTGCGTCCGTCCGTCCATCTCTCTGTCCGTCCGTCCATCTCTCCGTCCGTCCGTCCATCGCTCCGTCCGTCCGTCCATCTCTCCGTCCGTCCGTCCATCCCTCCGTCCGTCCGTCCATCTCTCCGTCCGTCCGTCCGTCCATCTCTCCGTCCGTCCGTCCATCTCTCCGTCCGTCCGTCCATCGCTCCGTCCGTCCATCTCTCCGTCCGTCCGTCCATCGCTCCGTCCGTCCATCTTTCCGTCCGTCCGTCCATCTCTCCGTCCGTCCGTCCATCGCTCCGTCCGTCCATCTCTCCGTCCGTCCGTCCATCTCTCCGTCCGTCCGTCCATCGCTCCGTCCGTCCATCGCTCCGTCCGTCCATCTTTCCGTCCGTCCGTCCATCTCTCCGTCCGTCCGTCCATCTCTCCGTCCGTCCATCTCTCCGTCCGTCCGTCCATCTCTCCGTCCGTCCGTCCATCGCTCCGTCCGTCCATCTCTCCGTCCGTCCGTCCATCTCTCCGTCCGTCCGTCCATCGCTCCGTCCGTCCATCTCTCCGTCCGTCCATCTCTCCGTCCGTCCGTCCGTCTCTTCGTCCGACCGTCCGTCTCTGTGTCCGTCCGTCCATCGCTCCGTCCGTCCATCTCTCCGTCTGTCCATCTCTCCGTCCGTCCATCTCTCCGTCCGTCCGTCCATCTCTCCGTCCGTCCGTCCATCTCTCCGTCCGTCCGTCAATCTCTCCGTCCGTCCGTCAATCTCTCCGTCCGTCCGTCCATCTCTCCGTCCGTCCGTCCATCTCTCCGTCCGTCCGTCCATCTCTCCGTCCGTCCATCTCTCCGTCCGTCCGTCCATCTCTCCGTCCGTCCGTCCATCTCTCCGTCCGTCCGTCAATCTCTCCGTCCGTCCGTCAATCTCTCCGTCCGTCCGTCCATATCTCCGTCCGTCCGTCCATCTCTCCGTCCGTCCGTCCATCTGTCCGTCCGTCCATCTCTCCGTCCGTCCGTCCATCTTTCCGTCCGTCCGTCCATCTTTCCGTCCGTCCGTCCATCTCTCCGTCCGTCCGTCCATCTGTCCGTCCGTCCATCTCTCCGTCCGTCCGTCCATCTTTCCGTCCGTCCGTCCATCTTTCCGTCCGTCCGTCCATCTCTCCGTCCGTCCATCTCTCCGTCCGTCCGTCCATCTCTCCGTCCGTCCATCTCTCCGTCCGTCCGTCCATCTCTCCGTCCGTCCGTCCATCTTTCCGTCCGTCCGTCCATCTCTCCGTCTATAATGTTTCACATTGTCTGATAAATCCCCGATTATCCAGGCTTAAAACACCCGACGATCACCCCACGAATTTATTTGTTTCTGAACTTTTAAGCCCAGTTGTGTGTGCTGATCACAAGGATCGACATTTGAACAGGTTAAAGAATTTTAAAAATCCATTTTTAATCAAGTTTTTTGCCGTCTCCCCATTTTTACAGTTGGGGATTTTAACACATTGAAATATCCTTCACATTCTCTTTGTTGTTTGACCCAGAGGCGTAGCGACCCTTACCGGCGCCCGGGGAGAAACTTTCGATTTGCACCCCCCCCTCAAACTTTCATTTTTTCCAATCCATTTTGGCGCCCCCTAAGGTCGGCGCCCGGGGACGTATGTCCCCCCCCCCCCCTCGCCCCGCCCCCTCGCTACGCTACTGGTTTGGCCAAACGAGTATATGTGTGTGTAAGTGAGTGTGTGTGTTGTTTCCACCTCATATCGTATTTAAAACATGCTGATACCTGGTAGTTTAATAGAGCGAACGACTGCTAGCCCCAAAAGTCACTGAGTCCGCTCAGCTCGGAAGGGTACCTGACTCCGGTTAGGGCATAGTTCTGACCAAACAGGTTTTAAACCAGGCTTTAAACTTTTGGCAGTCAATAAAGATCATGGTTGCTAAACCGAAAAGTCTCGAGTTCGAACCCTCGGGCAGATGAGGCTCGTTAGCTGGGGACAGCCACTCTTCTAGGAGCGACAACTTCGGCTTTATAGTTTTTTCTTGGTTGGACAAAGGCTATGGAAAAGCAGGCTAAAATCGGAGTCAATGGCCACAATGGCGCATAACCAGTTGACACGTATACTTAATTGTGCTGGAAGGGATTCTTTCTAAAGTTAAGAACGAAGAAGAAGAAAGTGGGAAAGTTATCACGTTGTAGATTTCGAAATTACGGGCTGTTTTTAAATATTTGCACTTCCGCTGACCTGTTCCTTGGTGCTAGTTAAATTCTTTCTGTGTGTGATAAGTTTCATTTTAATGCATCGCCCGCCTCTCTCCACCAGGCTAATTAGACGGTAGCCAAAAGGTGATAGACGAGGTGTTGGAGAATGAAAGGCTAAGAAAGCCAGGCTTTTGTCTGTTGGAGAGAGAGGGGTGTTTTTTAATTGTTTTCTTGATAGGATAAGGTGCGGGGGTGGGCGCAGGAGGGCTGTGTTGGTTAGCTTTATTTATGGCATTTATGGCTGTGTAGGTTAGCTGTATGGTTGTGTATGTTAGCTGTATGGCTGTGTAGGTTAGTTTTATGGCTGTGTATGTTAGCCGTATGGCTGTGTATGTTAGCTATATGACTGTGGAGGTTAGCTGTATGGCTGTATTGGCTGTTTGTTCTCTGTATTGCTGTGAGGTTTAGCCTTATGGCTAAATTATCTACTGATGGCGATTACCTTAACTACTTAGGCCTGCATCACTTTAAAGTAATTGCGTAAGTAAATCCCACTGTAGCCAATAATCCCTCTTTAACAAACCATGTTGGATAACCTCCCTTCCCTCTTATTTCAGCCTACAAACACAAAACACAGGTATAATAAACATCAATCCTCTTTATTTTATACAATTTACATCATCAACACACCCCTCGTTTAACTTGAATAGGTGCCCATATCACGACGGCAGAGGTGAGCGTTTAGTTCCAGCCGTTAGCCTTGAGCCATTTAGCCCTGGCGATGACGTCGTTGCTGTAGTCGTTTCCGGTGCTGCCGATGTCGAGACCTCCCCAGGACTGGACGTTGCTGACGCCGAAGTTGTAGGCGGCAACACCACCTGGGCAGGGGGAGTAGAGTTTTAGTTTATACGTGGGAAATCAACGGTGAGACTACTCACTACACTAATGACAGTGGCCATCCTGTTATTAATGTTTTTATAAGGTGCAATGCATTTAAAAGCCATTTTTAATCATATATATATATATATATATATATATATATATATATATATATATATATATATATATAGGCCTATGTATTTAAATATATAAAATTATTCATATATATATATATATATAGGCCTATGTATATAAATATATAAAATTATTCATATATATATATATATATATATATATATATATATATATATATATATATATATATATATATATATATATATATATATATATATATATATATATAATTTAATTATATATATATAAGTATATATATATATATATATATATATATATATATGAATAATTTTATATATTTATATATAGGCCTATATATATATATATATATATATATATATATATATATATATATATATATAGGCCTATGTATATAAATATATAAAATTATTCATATATATATATATATATATATATATATATATATATATATATATATATATAACTTAAGAAAAAGATTGATGCATTTTTTCAACTGACCTTGAAGAGCCTGATGTTGGGACCAGTCGGGATGCTTGGCCTTGACCTAATGATAGATATAAAAAAATAAAAGTGATCACGTGTGGTATGTTTGTCTAAATCAATGCCAGACATGTTTGCAACTCTTTAGTCAGGGTGTAGGGAGAGCGTGGGAAGACCAACCAATGAATTTGTAATTCATTAAAACTTGTCAGGAAATCCGTGGTTTTCAAGCACGGGTGTCCGTCGATCGAAGTTTTGCTTTACTATACCCACCACGTTACGATTACACACTCACACGTCCAACATAGTATTGTGGACCATAGCTACACCGGATACGCCCTTTCCCCCCTACTCCAGCACTGAAGACCATCATCTCAATGTGCCCACTGTCACCCCATTAGATGACCCCTCCAACCACCACCATTAAAATGACCTACTGACCTGGTTGATGTATGACCTACTGACCTGGTTAATGTATGGCACCAGAAGTCTGTGGACCATCATCTCGATGTGCCCACTGTCACCCCATTAGATGACCCCTCCAATCCACCCCCCCCCCATTAAGCCGACCTATTGACCTGGTTGATGTATGACCTACTGACCTAGTTGATGTATGACCTACTGACCTTGTTGATGTATGACCTACTGACCTGGTTGATGTATGGCACCAGAAGTCTATGGACCATCACCTCAATGTGCCCACTGTTACCTCATTAGATGACCCCCTCCAATTCCCCCCCCCCCCCCCACATTAAAATGACCTACCGACCTGATTGATGTATGACCTACTGACCTGGTTGATGTATGGCACCAGAAGTCTATGGACCATCATCTCGATGTGAGCACAGCTGTCCCATGGCACGGAGGTGCAGGGCAGGCCAGAGTTAGCGACGTCACACTGAAGGAAGAGAACGTGAACATTAGAAGACATGCTCGAGCTACGTCAAAACCTCAAACTTCTTCCTCTGCGTTCTTAATTTAGTTTATGGTGGAGAATTTAAACAAGAGCAACTTCGTGTATGAACTGGACTGTAGGCTCCAGATCTGTGGGTGCCCCATACAGTTTTTCCTTGAGTGGGGTGTGTAGGGGCCAGTGTTTGGATCGAGCCTGGCTATATAAGGAACAGTCCTGAAGGACGTGCTCTGTACGGGGCCATGACACAGGGCAAGTTTTGCCAAACCTCAAACAACTTTTGCTTTACGCAGATTTAAATAAAGAGTAGGGGATCTCCGGTCTTCGGGGTATTTGGTCTTGATCTTGTTCTCGAACTCTCCCCAATTGTAACATAACTCTTTGGTCATCATCATCTACCTTTCGTACCCAAGTCACATGGGTCAGATGAAGTAGAGTTCATCTGTTTTAATAACTATTGTATATGAATGGATAGTGTGGTCAGCACTATGCCCAGCATAACTGAAGTAGGATACTTAAATCTACCATGTGTGTTTGAGTTACCGGTATGATACAATTTTAGATCTACTATGTACATTTGAGTGACCTGTAGGATGCATTTATATATCTACCATGTAGAGTTACCTTTAGAATACATTTATATATATACCATGTAGAGTTACCTTTAGGATACATTTATATATCTACCATGTAGAGTTACCTGTAGGATACATGTATATATCTACCATGTAGAGTTACCTTTAGGATATATTTTTATTTGTACCTTGTAGAGTTACCTGTAGGATACATTTATATATCTACCATGTAGAGTGTTACCTTTAGGATACATTTATATATCTACCATGTAGAGTTACCTTTAGGATACATTTATATATCTACCATGTAGAGTTACCTTTAGGATACATTTATATATCTACCATGTAGAGTTACCTGAAGAATGCCCCAAGCATGGTGGTTGTCTCCCCATCCCCCAGTAGAAACAAGCAGAGAGCCGCCTCTAGATTCTCTGCTTGCAAGGGCGGCAATCACTGAAGCTTGAATACCTGGAGAGGGTCAATGGCTACATTTAGCTTACTACATTTTGGTTTATATTCTCCTTTAGTTTAGTTAAAATGTGAGTTAATTTAATTCCCGTGACTTTCACTGTCTGCGGTATTTAGTATTTGTGGTACTTAGTGTCTGCGGTACTTGGTGTCTGCGGTATTTAGTGTCTGTGGTACTTACAGTTTGTGTCTGTGGTACTTAGTGTCTGCGGTACTTACAGTTGGTGTCTGCGGTACTTAGTGTCTGCGGTAATTAGAGTCTGCGGTACTTACAGTTGGTGTCTGCGGTACTTAGTGTCTGCGGTACTTACAGTTGGTGTCTGCGGTACTTAGTGTATGCGGTACTTACAGTTGGTGTCTGCGGTACTTAGTGTCTGCGGTACTTAGAGTCTACGGTACTTACAGTTGGTGTCTGCGGTACTTAGTGTCTGCGGTACTTACAGTTGGTGTCTGCGGTACTTAGTGTCTGCGGTACTTAGAGTCTGCGGTACTTACAGTTGGTGTCTGCGATACTTACAGTTGGTGTCTGCGATACTTACAGTTGGTGTCTGCGGTACTTAGTGTCTGCGGTACTTAGAGTCTGCGGTACTTACAGTTGGTGTCTGCGATACTTACACTTGATGTCTGCGATACTTACAGTTGGTGTCTGCGGTACTTAGTGTCTGCGGTACTTAGAGTCTGCGGTACTTACAGTTGGTGTCTGCGGTACTTAGTGTCTGCGGTACTTACAGTTGGTGTCTGCGGTACTTAGTGTCTGCGGTACTTAGAGTCTGCGGTACTTACAGTTGGTGTCTGCGATACTTACAGTTGGTGTCTGCGGTACTTAGTGTCTGCGGTACTTACAGTTTGTGTCTGTGGTACTTACAGTTGGTGTCTGCGGTACTTAGTGTCTGCGGTACTTAGTGTCTGCGGTACTTACAGTTTGTGTCTGTGGTACTTACAGTTGGTTTCTGCGGTACTTGGTGTCTGCGGTACTTAGTGTCTGCGGTACTTACAGTTAGTGTCTGCGGTACTTACAGTTGGTGTCTGTGGTACTTAGTGTCTGCGGTACTTAGAGTCTGCGGTACTTACAGTTGGTGTCTGCGGTACTTACAGTTAGTGTCTACGGTACTTAGTGTCTGCGGTACTTAGTGTCTGCGGTACTTACAGTTGGTGTCTACGGTACTTAGTGTCTGCGGTACTTAGTGTCTGCGGTACTTACAGTTAGTGTCTGCGGTACTTACAGTTAGTGTCTGCGGTACTTACAGTTGGTGTCTGCGGTACTTAGTGTCTGCGGTACTTACAGTTGGTGTCTGCGGTACTTAGTGTCTGCGGTACTTACAGTTGGTGTCTGCGGTACTTACAGTTGGTGTCTACGGTACTTAGTGTCTGCGGTACTTACAGTTGGTGTCTGCGGTACTTAGTGTCTGCGGTACTTACAGTTAGTGTCTGCGGTACTTAGTGTCTGCGGTACTTACAGTTGGTGTCTGCGGTACTTACAGTTGGTGTCTGCGGTACTTACAGTTGGTGTCTACGGTACTTACAGTTGGTGTCTACGGTACTTACAGTTGGTGTCTGCGGTACTTAGGGTCTGAGGTACTTAGTGTCTACGGTACTTAGTGTCTGCAGTACTTACAGTTGGTGTCTACGGTACTTAGTGTCTGCGGTACTTACAGTTGGTGTCTGTGGTACTTACAGTTGGTGTCTGTGGTACTTACAGTTGGTGTCTGCGGTACTTACAGTTGGTGTCTGCGGTACTTACAGTTGATGTCTACGGTACTTACAGTTGGTGTCTGTGTTACTTACAGTTGGTGTCTGTGGTACTTAGTGTCAGCGGTACTTACAGTTAGTGTCTGCGGTACTTACAGTTGATGTCTGCGGTACTTACAGTTAGTGTCTGCGGTACTTAGTGTCTGTGGTACTTACACTTGATGTCTGCGGTACTTACAGTTGGTGTCTGCGGTACTTAGTGTCTGCGGTACTTACAGTTAGTGTCTGCGGTACTTACAGTTGATGTCTGCGGTACTTACAGTTAGTGTCTGCGGTACTTAGTGTCTGTGGTACTTACACTTGATGTCTGCGGTACTTACAGTTGGTGTCTGTGGTACTTAGTGTCTGCGGTACTTACAGTTGGTGTCTGCGGTACTTACAGTTGGTGTCTGCGGTACTTGGTGTCTGCGGTACTTACAGTTGGTGTCTGCGGTACTTACAGTTGGTGTCTGCGGTACTTAGGGTCTGAGGTACTTAGTGTCTACGGTACTTAGTGTCTGCAGTACTTACAGTTGGTGTCTACGGTACTTAGTGTCTGCGGTACTTACAGTTGGTGTCTGTGGTACTTACAGTTGGTGTCTGTGGTACTTACAGTTGGTGTCTGCGGTACTTACAGTTGGTGTCTGCGGTACTTACAGTTGATGTCTACGGTACTTACAGTTGGTGTCTGTGTTACTTACAGTTGGTGTCTGTGGTACTTAGTGTCAGCGGTACTTACAGTTAGTGTCTGCGGTACTTACAGTTGATGTCTGCGGTACTTACAGTTAGTGTCTGCGGTACTTAGTGTCTGTGGTACTTACACTTGATGTCTGCGGTACTTACAGTTGGTGTCTGCGGTACTTAGTGTCTGCGGTACTTACAGTTAGTGTCTGCGGTACTTACAGTTGATGTCTGCGGTACTTACAGTTAGTGTCTGCGGTACTTAGTGTCTGTGGTACTTACACTTGATGTCTGCGGTACTTACAGTTGGTGTCTGTGGTACTTAGTGTCTGCGGTACTTACAGTTGGTGTCTGCGGTACTTACAGTTGGTGTCTGCGGTACTTGGTGTCTGCGGTACTTACAGTTGGTGTCTGCGGTACTTACAGTTGGTGTCTGCGGTACTTACAGTCGATGTCTGCGGTACTTACAGTTGGTGTCTACAGTACTTACAGTTGGTGTCTGCGGTACTTACAGTTGGTGTCTGCGGTACTTAGTGTCTGCAGTACTTACAGTTGGTGTCAGCAGATTGCTGGTAACAGCTCCTGTGGTTGTTGAGAGCAGGTAGATCATGCTGAACCTCAGCGTTGGATCCAGCCACACCTGTTGGACAATTTTAAAACATGGAATCATTGCCTCGTCGTAACTGGGGGAGGGGGGAGGGGCTTGGTTTGTCTGATGTAGTGCAGGATTTAGAGTTATTCAATAAATATATTAAATAAGGTGGAGGGTCATCTGTAAATAATAGCACGCATTTTAAAAGCGGCCTTTTAGTTTCCCCCTTTCCACTCTCCCAATCATCACAACCCCCCCCCTCTAACTTTAGCCCAATCCACCCCCACCCCCCCCCCCCCTCCCCCATATAATGCTTTTTCTAAACCAGGAATTTATTTAAAAAAACATTGGTTATATTGATTGTTTTATTGTGTTTAACAAGAACTTCCGACAAAAAATGCGAAACAACGGCAAACGTTAGTTTCTAACTTTACTTTTTGAAATACTCTAGTTTGTCATCACACTTTCTGGCACTCATCCCCCCCCCCCCCCCCTCTTCCCTTACCCTCAGCCCTCTTCATCACAATAAGTCAATATGACACGAGCATAATTTACGTAGCATGCTTCCCTAACTATAAAAAAATACCTATAACTCTATAAATAGACTTGACCTACCTCCGGTGTGTTTCCCGGTTGGGTGGAGTTGGTCGATGTCACCGTGACATAACCTGTTGGCTGAAATAGACAAATGATGCGACACATGAGTTATACGACTGTCACACTCTTTTGATATGCCGAAAACAAAAAAAATTTTAAAAAAAAAAAAACAGAAAAAAATCTAAGCTATCTTCTTTGCCACCAAATAAGGTCTATAATTATTTGATTTTTATTTTTATTTTAGATTAGAGTTGTGGCACCATGAACATGTCTTTTCCAGAAAGTTCTGACCAGAATTGAATTCTTCCAGAAGCGCATGATTTAAACAAACAGAAGCCACGAACGCTAGCGGTTTGTATTGTCATTTCGTCAAGTTAACATCCAAGTTAAATGGAGCGGCGATGTAATTTACAATCACGCAAACCTTAAATCAGCGTTGTTTAAGATTATCTTTGTGGGAATTCAGATGCGGAAATTAAAAACGTGTATGACACGTACTTTGCGTGCAGAAAGCAGGCCTAGATATGTTGAGCTGGCCTAGTGTAACTTATTTATAGAACAGTTATTTCTTACTAAATGAAAGATTTAAATTTAGCTACATTTATTTAATTAAGTGAGCCGCACTATTTTTTAAAATTGACGAAAAAAACTTCAGTTGCATAAGCGTTTTTTTTTTTAGAACTTTGCGAAAACAATACTAATTAATTTGTTTATTAAAAAACTACCCTAGAAAAGTGAAGTTCCCTTTCAAACCTGATGGTCTATGAGGCAAGTGAAGTAGAGTTTACTTGTTTCTGTGACCTCGGCATTAAATGGATAGTGTAGTCAGCACTATGCCCAGCCGTCTTTACTTTCCCTAACGTGAGTTAGGGTTCCATCACATATGGATGATCTCAATGACTTTCTACAGACTTAAACCGTATTCGAACACGAGACTTTCGTGATAGCAGTCTTTCTCTCTACCGCTAGGCCACTCCGTCCACACGTTACAAAAAAAAACCATCTATAGCTTGTAGTACTAAATATTTTACCATCTACAAAATGCTATGAAACGTACAACTAAAACTTACCAGCGTTGGCGTAAGCCACAAGAGCGCACAAAACAACTAGATACATGATCGCTAGCGTAGTGTTGGAAGGTAAAGCAGAGCCTCATTGTGGTCCAAACTTTTATAGGCCAAGTTTGGTGGTGTGATGCCAAATTTAAAAAAAAATGTACATCCGGTTTGACCGAACGACCGAAAAGAAGGACACGTTTTTTATACACGAACATAGGCGTGGTCACGAGGGGTGTATCTACTCCATGTGGCAGACGATTATAATGTGTCCTGACGGTTTAGACTGTATCAATTACATTTTGCCATATGTACATATGGACACACGCCTATTCCCCAGTCCTCGTAGATATGCGCATACAATAAATTAGGCACTCAAATATTAATAAAAAAAACAAATTGGGCTTAAGTTTTAAATAATGGGTGCACATACATAAATAATATAAATTGGGGCACCTTTGCGTGAATACATAATATTGGGCGCTTACATGTAAGTATAAAAAAATTGGTACTCAGATGTAAGTAAAATAAATTGGACACTTATATACAAATAGAATAATTTGAATACTCAAAGACTGAGCTCTCCGTTGTCCCCTTGGTACTCAACTGTCATGATTGTGGTGCTTAGAAGAGACAAAAAAATCACCCCCCCCCCCCAACTACTTCCACTTCTGATACCTATATGTTATAAATTAATTGTGTCACAAAAAGGTAACAGTCTTATTTTTCAAACTAAAGATAATCAAATATTTTGAGTTATCGTGACAAACCACCCTCCCGCTCCCCCTCCCCACCCCCACCCCCACCCAACACAACGTACACTTTCTATGTATTACGCCTATGTATCTTTAATTTGTTGTGCCAGAAAATTTGTTGATTTTGTTGGAAAATACAAATTAAAAAAAAAATATTGGACCTTCTTATCAAAAGTTAAAGAAATTATTTTCTAAACAGCGGCGATAGCCAGTAAAACATCTGTTGGTTTCACATGATCTTGAGATGTAAGAGAAATGTTTTGCGGTTTATTTTAGAATCAATTTTTAAAGAAATCTGCCTGGATTGATCACTGCTGGTTAATACATTGGCATGTAGCCACATTTTAGTGGTTGATGGGTAGAGTGTGAGGGCGTTCGGCCTGCATACGACACTATTATGTACACCACCACAAGTCGTTTAAGAGAGAGAGATTAGTGGGTTTAATCTCTTTTGTTTTCCAGGCACCACGCTGCGTCCTTCTCGTCCCAACTCTAACCTCCAACTGCCATCCACATTCGTCGTTACACATCTTCTAGCTCACGGTCACAACATACCCGCTGTCACTCGACCAGTCGCTTCCATTGTTACCCTCGTTTACTCCGTACAGTAACATACACGTCAAAACTAACGGCACTGACAAGTCAAAAACAGTTGACATTCTATAGACACTAATCTGTCACAGTAAAGTGCCCTTTCGAACCTGAAGGCCCTTGGTACAGGCGAAGAAGAGTTCACCTGTTTCATTGACCTCTGCGTATGAAGGGATAGTAGGGTCAGTACTAAGCCCAACCGGCTTTATTTTTCCTAACGTGAGCCAGGTACCTAGCTGAGCCCCAACACAACCTGGTGGACTCATGGACGTGCTGCAGACTCGAGCCTGGGATTCGAACTCTAGACTTTTGTATTCGCAGGCGTACGCTCTACTATCCGACCACACCGTCACCGAGAAATCATAACACGTGACATTTAATGGACACCGACAAATTATAACACGTGACATTTAATGGACACCGACAAATTATAACACGTGACATTTAATGGACACCGACAAATTATAACACGTGACATTTAATGGACACCGAAAAATTATAACACGTGACATTTAATGGACACCGACAAATTATAACACGTGACATTTAATGGACACCGACAAATTATAACACGTGACATTTAATGGACACCGACAAATTATAACACGTGACATTTAATGGACACCGACAAACCATAACACGTGACATTTAATGGACACCGACAAACCATAACACGTGACTTTTAACGGAAAATGTATCCACTAAATGAACCCACAAGTGCCACGTAGCACCCCCGACAGAGAAAATAAAAGTTTGAGATAAGAACGCACTATTAACCTTCTCCACTTATAATTTGTTTTACCTATTTCAATTATTCTGAACTCCGGTAAACTAACCCAGATAAGCTGTTGTTACAGTTTCGAATACAATTTTTTTTTTAAAGTTAGTCTACGATGCCATCTCATTACACTACCTCTCAGTGTTTCTTCCAGACATTTTTCTCCGGGGGGGGGGGGGGGCACTTGAAATTTTCGGGTGGGCGGTCAACATTTTTCGGAGGGGGGGGGGGGGGGGCGGACACTAGTAGAAGTGTATGTTTACTATATAAAATCCATCTCGTTCGGGGGGGGGGGGGGGGTTCGGTAGACCCTGAAGAGAGGCCTGGAAGAAACTCTGCTACCTCTACAGTTTATTTATTTAAATTCTTCAATTGGAGCTAATTTAAAAATCTATTGGTTGATTGAATTTTTATGTTGGGTCTCCATACAAGGCCATATCCAATGAGGGGGTGGGGATGGGAGAGATCACTCTCTGGCTAGAAAGTGGAGCTGGATGAGTCATGGACATGTCCCCTCCCAGCCACTAGTCCCCCAGACGTTGAGGAGGGGGGTGTAGAATGATGGGGGGGGGGGGCGTGTGAATCTGACGGGCAGCTAGTCTTGCATCAGAGTTTGGTTAACGAACCATGTGATTAAAATCTGCTTGGCTATAATTAATTCATATTAATAATTACTTAAACGTGTAACATTTTGAATATCTTTTTAAAATTTTAATGAGTATTAGGCCACAGTCAAAATTGTCAGTAGTCTTAAAGAAAATTTGGGACTTTTAACTCTTTGAAACTATAATTTCTGTGCACATAAAGGTATTTTTAAAATATGTATACACATGCTATGACTTTAAACTATGATATAAACAATAACACAGATCAGCACGTGACACGAATATAGTCACGAACTAGATGGCGCTGTTTCCTATTTATAGAGTTTAGAAAAACAAAACAAGAATTCTCAAGTGACTCTAAATTTAAACCGGACGTTTTTCCTTGTCTGAACATAAGTCAGGGTGATCGATTTTATGCACGGAAATTATTGAAACCGTTATTTTAATTCAGGGGTCATTCTTAAATGACGTCACGCTTTTTTTGACGATTTTTACCTCCCCCCTCCGTCACACGTCGTCACAAAAAGCCAGACCCCCCCCCTCTAAAATGACGTCACACCTCAGCCTATAACCCGCCTCAAAATTGCTGTTGAATTTTTCTTAAAACATCAATATTTTTCCAAAATCTTGTCAGAATTCTGTCAACAAGGTGTATTTTGATCACTTAATATTACAATTTATCAAAACCGTTTTCTTAAACGCGAAATAACAGCTAAACTCATTTTCTAACATTGCTTTTTTTATAATGCAAAAAAGTGACGTCACATCATCTGAACTCCCCCTCATCACGCACCGTCACAAAATTATGGTCCCTCCCCTCCCCCCTACGAGTGTGACGTCATTTATGTACGACCCCTCAGCAGCGAAACCGAATTTCGTATCGTTGTATTTTTAGAACAGAATTTTATGAACTTGTCGTTCGTTTTCGTTGAGTCACGACCATTAGGTTAATCGTGACATCTTCCACCTACTGTGTTGTTTGACAATTCGTATTTTTATTTAAATTTAACATTATTTATAAGATAATTACGCTTACATTATTCACATTCTCCCTTCACCACATACAGTAGTATTTGCAACCAGTACTTTGGTTTATAAATTAGTGTTTAAAATTCTTCCTTCACTACATATAGGTTTAGTATTTGCAACCATAACTTTAGTTTATAAATTAGTGTTATTGACAGTCTATGTCAGGGGTCTCCAAACTACGGCCCGCGAGGTTCTCTTATCCGGCCCGCGGAGATATTTTTGTCCACGGAAAAAAAAACGTTTGTTGGCGATGGCTGAGGAACTTTGACCAGAAAAATTAAAGACATGCCTGGAAGAAACTGGCCCCTGAACTGAAATTTGATAGTTAATGCGGCCCTCGGACGGAAAAGTTTGGAGACCCCTGATCTATATGTTTATTAATTACTATGTCGTGCTTATTTGACTGAAGCTACTCTGCTTTTGATATGATTTATTTACAACGGAAACTTACCAAAGCTTCAACATCCGGGTTTTAATATCAGCTGTGTTTTACAACAATTATTTTTGTCATGTATTTCTAAAATACTGTTTCGTGTCATACATCTATACACATAGGCAAGTTTTTCAAAACAAACACTCATAACACATCACACTTAATCACTAATTACCTTACTTGCTTTCAACAGTTTGCGTAAATTAACGTAAAAATGTGAAAGAGAAAACCATAGGTATACAATCAATATGTCGATTCTTTTACCAATAGATTTTGTATAGGCATAAACTTTCACTGCGCTTGAATAAAAATCGCTTTGCCAATACGGATGCTTGAGCTGTCTACCTTATCGCTAAATCCTGTAATGACATTTAGAGCAGGTTCTTAACATGAGTTCGATAGAACTCCAGGAGTTCAGTGAGTTAGTCTCAAAGATTCGGCGGAGGTCAAGATACACATACGACGAATATCATAGGATTCACGATCAGATTTTGTCAGTGTGGACCATAGAACTATTTAGGAGAGTTCGGTGCCTCCAGAAAGGTAAAGAATCCCTGATTTAGACTGCGAGCCCAAAAGTCTTGAGTTCGAATTTGGATTCAAGTCCATTTAACGTCGCTGAGTCCACCCAGCTCTGATCGGTACCTAACTCTCTTCATCACCTTTTTCCTGTTCGAAGAAAGTCTTACCGCCCCCCGCCCCCCCCCCCCCCCCCCGAAGAAAGTCTACCGCCCCCCCGCCCCCCCCCCCCCGAACGAAATGGAATTTATATAGAAAATATATACTTTTCACAGTGTCCCCCCCCCCCCCCAGAAAATTTTAAGTGCACCCCCGGAGAAAAAAACTCTGGAAGAAACACTGCACATGGGGAAGATGAAGTAGAGTTCATCTGCTTCAGATACCTCGGCATATGAAGGGATGGCGTGGTCAGCACTATGCCCAGCCGACTTTACTTTCCCCAACGTATTTCGGATACCCATCAGAGCTGGGTGGACTCAGGGATGTTCTACAGTCACAAGTCTTGAGATCCGAACTCGAGACCTCAGGGCCAGCTGCCAAACACTACCATTCGACCATTGTGTTCCCATATGCGAGAAATTCTCGATTTCATTAACCCTATTCCAGTCTGCCCTGGCCAACTAACTAAAAGAAGAGTTGAAACAGGCATTGTTAATGAAATAGTATTGTAGACAGAGTATAATTTCAATGCCAAATGTAGACATAAAAGTAAGTAAAGTTCCCCTTCCAAACCTGACGATCTATGGGGCAAGTGAAGTAGAGTTCACCGGTTTTTGTGACCTCGGCATATGAAGGGATAGGGTGGTCAGCATTACGCCCCAGCCGCCTTTACTTTCCCTAACTCACGTTAGGGACCCATTACAGATGGTTGTTACTCAGGGACAGTCTACTGACTTGAACCTGATTCGAACTCGAGACTTACGGGTAAGCAGTCTAGCTCTCTACCGCTAGGCCACTCTGTCCCTCAAATGTAGACATAGGGTTAGAGCAGTCTACATCCAGACAAGATAAAAGCTTGCCATTTGGACACTGTTCTTTCGACAGAGTTCCTTCCTGGAACTATATGACGTAACGATGTCTACTATTGTCCTGGCTAATGAGCATCGTTTGAGATGAAAACAACCATTTACGCTTCTGAGTTTGATTTGAAATTCTTTTCCTACGGTTTGTTCTGTACCGCACAACAAATTTTACCAACGGCTATCTGCCTTTAAAAGTAAAATAGTTGCATTTATAATTTTAATACACAACCGATTTAACAAAGAAACAAAATTTTCAAAACAGTTTTTTATGCTCTATTTACATTCGATATAACTATGACGGTCTAGTTCCATCCGTTGGGCCATGAGCCATTTGGCCCTGGCGATGGACGTCATTGCTGTAGTCCGTGGGCCGGTAGTTCCGGCATCGACGGCCTCCCATGAGTTCACTCTGCTGACCCCCACCGTTGTAGCCGGCAACAGCACCTGAGATGGATAAAAACACATTTTGTTTCATTTTTTGTGTGGTTGGGCTATAGGGCTTTTAAGGATGTCCCCAACTTCTTATAATTCCTACTTGCCAGGTAGTATTTTTCAAACCAAATGTGAATATTTTTATCAATCAGTTATTTAAAAAATCAATTATTTTGATAGACTATGATTATAAATGTTCCATTATGGGTATTCTTGGAATTTGTATATTCTTGAAAGAAATAGCCACCATGTTTTTTTTAATTCATTCATTTTATTTATTATTATTTTTATTTTTTTTAATTAAAGGGAATCATATCCACAACAATTAATTTAGTTTAAAAATGTATATCTCTCTCTGGCCAACGAGATTTGGAATTGTAAATGAGAGAAACCGAGACTTACAAACTCTACCGAACGGCGCTTACTATTTCAGACTTTAAGAAAGAGACCATTTTTAACATATAGTCTACTTCCAACGAAGGACTTGAAAGTAATAAAGTAGGAATAATAGATGTACTTTTAAAAAAAAACTGATAGATCTATATGGTGAACAGTTAACAAGAAAAAGAAAGATTTTTTTCGCATTTAAAAAATGTAAATTAATATAATAGACATTAAAAAATAGAATAGGTAAATTATTCTTAGTAAACTGCATTACCCAATTATTCTAGATTACAGATATTTCGTTGTTTAATCTTTTAATAGTTTTACTTCTTATTATTTAGTTATCGGTAACATTTTTTGTAGACCATTGTTTACCTTGAAGTGCCTGGTCCATACTCCAGCCTGGGAATTTATTATGGACCTGTAATTTGGAAATAAAACGTATTGTTAAGAAGTAAATCATAATAGGAGACATCAATCTCAGTCACGTCTTTGATTGTTTTTTCAGCTTGATGCGGCGGATGGAGGTGGGAGGGAAGAAAAAGAGGGCTGTTTACTATTTTGGTAAGACGTAGAGCTGGTCATTTGATTTCGATGTAAAGCTGTCTTGAGACAAGACAATTTTTCTTCCTCAAAAAGTAGCTTAGACTGAACTTTTTTAAGCGACAGAAACACATATGAAATAAACCATTAAAATCTGTTAATGCCGTTTTCAAAGAGATTTCAACTTGATTGTTGTCAGTTAAAAGATATTTAATAGGTTACAAAAAATATATACAAGGCAAAGATTAAAATCTATTTATTATTTGACCTTTGAAATGCATACACATTTGGTTAAAGTAAGGCACCTTGAAGCCTTACACACATCACACAAGTACGCACATGCACACATGACACACACATGACACACATTACACACACATGACTCACATCACAATCAAATCATACACACACCTAGATGACGAAGGCATCAATAAGCTTTTGACCAACGGTCTCAACGCCATACACACATCACACACGTACACACAAGTACACACGTACACACAAGTACACATATCGCACACAGGCAAATATCACACACATCACACACATCACTCACCTGGTTGACATAGGGCACCAACAACCTGTTGACCAAACCCACACACATTACACACACATCACACACACACACACACACATCACACTCACACCACACACACACATCACTCACCTGGTTAACATAGGGCACCAACAGCCTGTTGACCATATTCACACACATCACACACACACATCACACATCACACACATCACACATACATCACACACACATCACACACACACATCACACATCACTCACCTGGTTAACATATGGCACCAGCACCTGTTGACCAGCATCTCGATGTGCTCACAGCTGTCCCATGGCACTGACGTGCAGGGCAGACCAGAGTTGGCGATGTCACACTGTGGAATCAATGGGGAAATGAATATCCCCAGTTCTAACTTTATAAGTATTCTTCATTTTAAATACCTTTTTAAAACCACGTTATAGTAGTTATAGTAAGATTACGAAGTTATAGTAAGATTACGAAGAGCAAGTCTTCTACAAGCTTAGCAGTAGCGTAGCGAGGGTGTGGGGGGGGGGGGGGGCGGGGG